AGACAATAATTTTTGGAGCTGACGTTGGTCTGATTCCTCATAGCAACTGATTAGGCGTTCTTTGATAGCCTTGTACTTTTCTATTGGCGGTGGGCAAGTAATGAGGTCACTAACCTGTATTATTTCTTCTTTTGGCAGTTTTGCAATGACCGTATAGTACTTGTAATCGTCTCCTTGCTTCTGTGGTGCTACTATGGCTTCTAGTTGCTTAAACCATAATCTGGGTTGGTCCCTCCAAAATTCCGGCTGATATCTCCAAGGCTTCTTGTTGGCTGCTGCTTGATTTGCAGGGTGAATGAGTCATGTTGATTGTTCTTCGTCGGGTCACCAATTTGCCAGACTTCGTGGCAAGGTAAATAATGAGACTGTAGATGGTTAAGGTCTGTTTATTACTTTAATTGCTGGTGCTTATATACTAAGAAGATGCGTGAGATTTTCAGATTTAGCTATCCTAACAAACGTGCAACAATTAACATGTATGTCTTATCTCTATCGTATCTAAGTAATGTAGCGACGTGATAGTGCCGCTACATAGAACTAATGCCTGGATAGGCTGTTTTTATCAACTAGCTATCGAAAGCTAGTAATAGTAACATATAGATTTTGAAGGAGAGTATAACTATTGCCTATTTTAAAATATATTATTTATTAATAACTGATGAAATGAAATAAAACTTCTATCATCCAGTTATAGTCCTATAATACAGCATGAACCAGAATATAAAAAGAAGATAGTCTTATATGGCCTGACGGAAATCTATAAGGAAACTGATGAAGAGCTGCACCGTAGGATTATAACAACTTTCTGGGATATCCTAGGTATTGACTTACAAGGATACTTGGAGGATACATACCGGATTGGGCGATTCATCAAATATCGAAACCGACCTCTAGTCATTGAACTAATGAGTAAAAGAATGACCAAATACATAATAGAAAATAACCAGTACTTTTATGGAACTGGGTTAAATGTATCAGAATTCTTAAGCGAAAAAGCTCAAAACGAAAGGAAAATACTGAGAGATAAAATGCTTGTGGCTCGAAATAAAGGACAACATGCAGTAATTCGAAACAATCGGCTATACATAGAAGGAGAACTCTTCAACGTCGAAAATGAAACTTCGTCACAACGTACACCCAAGACTATTATTCAAAACACACAAAGGAACGATAATAACATCAGTAGGAAGAGTGAACCATACAACAACCATACATTTCGAAACACAAACGAAACCTACAGAAACTAATAGCAATAACCACTTCTTTAAGATTATATTTCAAAACTTTCAAAGCCTATTTAACAAGCAACATATACTAGAAGCATTCATCAATGAAAATTCGACATACCATGCTATATGCATTTCGGAAACATGGCTATCACGTGATAAACTAAGCATGATCAATTTTAGTGGCTACAAAGTTGCAACATCCTTCTGCCGAGAGAATCGTGGAGGCGGCGGCGTGTGTATATTGCTTCAAGAGCATATTAACTATGTTGAAAGAAGTGATATCTTAAATATGTCTCTTGAATATATTCTTGAGGTATGTGCAATTGAGATACCGGATGAAAATCTTATGCTTGTGGTAATGTATTGGAATAGAAGAGAACAAATTACATTCCATAGTCAACTTTACCTTATACTCAACTACATAAATAATAAATATTCCAAGCATAATGTAGTTCTTGGCGGGGATTTCAATATAGATATATTGAAAAGTGACCCTAAATGTAGTACGTTCCTAGATCTTATGTCCGAATATAAATACACGCAACACATCAAACATCCTACTCATATAACACAAACTACATCAACATGCCTAGACCTAATATTTACGAATTTTATTATTAAAGAATCAAACACATCTGTAGAGGACCTAGGATTTTCAGATCATTGCTGCACAATTTTAAATCTTAACATACCACAACGACCACAACAAACGCTATGGTACACAGAAAAACGCCTATACACTAAAACAAACATAGAATCTTTTAAATCTGCTCTAAAATTAATCAACTGGAGAGAAGTCTTAATAGAGACACGGGACGCAAACCAGAACTATAACGCTTTTTCCAAAATATTGATCGACACACTTAACCAACACATACCCAAAATAAAAATAAAATTAAGAACATATTACAAAAAGTACTGGCTAACTAAAGGCATTAAACAATCGTGTACAAATAAAAGACTATTAAAAATACTTAGTATAAAGACAAATAATGATGTAATAAAAAAATACTATAAAAAGTACGAAAAAGTCCTAAAACAAGTTGTCACTACATCTAAAAAATTGCAATATATCAATAAAATTAAAACCTCAAAAAATAAAGTTAAAGCGATGTGGAGCATAGTAAACGAACGTACAAATAAAAAAACGTGTTCCATGAAAAATAACATCAAATTAGAAATAAATAATACTGTAATTGAGAACCCTAAGGAAATAGTTAACCTATTTAATAACTTCTTTGCAACAATAGGTAACTCATCGCCGCATGCGACTGGCAATGAGGCTCAAGGTGTACCTGTCCTCAACCTTATAGAGAATACCCTCTTTCTTCGACCTTTAGATATCCGAGAAACAGGGAGAATCATAAAAACCCTAAAGAATAAAAAAAGTCATGGCGTAGATGAGCTGTCCCCCTTATTAATTAGACAATGTGCTGACGAACTCGCGGTACCTTACTGTGTCTGTATAAACCAGTCCTTTGACGAAGGTATCTTTCCAAACCAATTAAAAAAAGCCATTATTAAACCAATACACAAGAAAAATACTAAAACCGATCCCAGTAACTATAGACCAATAGCTCTTCTTCCTACGTCCTCCAAAATATATGAAAAAGCTATGTGTGATCGTGTTTACAACTTTTGCGAAAAATTTAAAGTGTTTGACGAAGGTCAACACGGATTTCGAAGACGACGATCCACTTCCCTAGCAGTCTATAAATACATGCAGGAAATACTAAATGCCCTTAATAACAAGAAGTACGCAGCAGGAATCCTTTTAGATATGACCAAAGCATATGACAAAGTGCAATTTAAAATACTTCTAAAAAAATTACATGATATAGGGATTCGCGGAACAACACATAACTGGTTTGCTTCATACTTGAAAGACAGAGAGCAATATGTTGAAATAGATTACTTTGATCACGACCTCAAACAAATAACACATGTAAGATCCGACAAAAAGATTATTAATGCATCAATCCCACAAGGTAGTGTCATTGGATGCCTCCTGTTCATTATCTACATCAACGACCTACCAAAAATAATGGATGAACCATGTGTGCTATTCGCAGATGACATATCCTTACTCACTGTTAGCCAGAACGTCAATGATATAACTGAACAGTTAAACTTAATATTAAATAAAACAACAAAGTGGTTAACTGAACACAACCTCGAAATAAATTATAAAAAAACAAAAGTAATGACCTTTCATCCACGACAAAAAGCTCCAATTACTGTTAACCTAACAGCTGACGGCACACAAATAGAGGTCGTTAACAATTTTTCATTATTAGGTCTCATCATAGATACGCACATTACCTGGAAACCACACATCAAACATATACACTCAAAAATCTCAAAATTTTGTTACGCACTACGAGAAGTTAAAAAAACTACCGACATACAAACAGCCCTCACCACTTACTACTCCTACGCATACTCATGGCTCAGCTACGGCATTATTATGTGGGGAAACAGTACTGATGCCCATACACTATTCATTCTTCAAAAGAAATTAATTCGTATAATAGTTAATTTACAGCAAACCGATAGCTGCAAACCAGTTTACATAAAATATAAAATATTAACATTACCATCTATTTATATCTTAGAAATATGTAAATTTGTAAGAAAAAATACAAACTTTTTCACAACCCGTGGAAATAAACATAGAGATCGGCCAGTAAGACACAAAAACATGCTAATGCACCCCTCTTCACACATGAAACTTCACAGCAATAGCCCTTATGTAATGTCCATTAAATTATTTAACAAATTACCAGATTCTTTAAAAAATGAAACTAGCGAAACTAAGTTCATAAGCGCACTCAAGAATATCCTCATCAACAAAGCCTACTACTCAATTGATGAATATATAAATGATAACAACATTGTCCATATACAACATAACGCATAACAACAAGCACATTACCATGATACATTTATTGAATTTTCATATATATATATATATATATATATACATATATATATATATATATATAAATTAATTTATATATATATAAATTAATTTTAATTGTTTTAATATATATGTTAATTGTTTTAATTTTAGATGTAAGTTTTATTTTGCTGTGCCCTACAGGGTCCACGATAGTACTTAGCTCTAAGCCATTCTGTAACACCTCTTATACATTGTGGAATGCAAATAAATATGAATATGAATATGAATATGAATATGATAAATTAAGCATCCAACAACGTTATTAATCATATTTTTTTTTATTTTTATATTTTAAACGAGTTACACAGGTGTCTTGGTTTCGAAGAGAATCTTATTCGAATGATATTAGAACCTACTTATACGATTTTTTTAAGTCAATTTGTATTTGAAAGGCTAGCTATTTCATATTGCTCCATGATAATCCACCCAGTTCGTCACACGCCATCGCTTTACATGAGACTTTGTTTTATAACATACAAAATAAATTAAATAACAACTAATTTCCTTTCAAATTATTTAAGTTTAACGGTTTACTCACGTAACTTTTTAACTTGGTACCTAACGACGACGATGCAGCGAAACGTCGCGCATTTCTGCTCATGTATAAGAGACCCGAGCGCGGCTTGAAATTTGTCGTGTTATCTCGTCAAACACTTACGTTTGTAATTAAAAATTTTGATTTTGTGATTTTCTTTTAAATGTGTTTTATTATATTTTCTGTCTGTCTTTTCTACTAATCCAGCTAACTAACATTATCTGCTTGCTTTTTTCAGGAAAAAATGCGTGAGTGTCTCTTGTTTTTTTTCCAGTACACCACCCCGGGACACTGAATACTGGGACGGTCCTGCCGTCATAGTACTGCCGGCACCAGACAAAACTAACTCTAAATCCCCTGGGGGTCAGGTGAGCTCTCCACTTCTTCTTCTTTCCTTCTTTCCAGAACAGATTTCGAATAGGAATAGTCGAATTGGTAGTCAGATGGATAAGAAAGTAAAATAAAAAGTCTAATTTCTGACGGATTTAAAGTTATTTAGAGTGAGACAATTACAATGATAATATAAAAGAAATAAATAACAGATGTATACTTATATACCTATAATGTTAGCTTCGTAAATAATAGGTCTTTACCTATGAAATTGCCGTTCTACAGTACTGGCCATTTCAAATCAAAATAATTTTTGTTAGGCTAAGGCTAATTAATTTTGTTTTAAAAACATGGGATTCTTTTTCCAAAAGTAGTCATTGTTTATTGATTAGTGTAACATTTTCATCGCATTTCAAATAAAAAAAATCGTTTAAATTTTTTCATGCAAAACGGCAATTTCATAGGTAAAGACCTATTATAATGTATTTATTTTTTTACAAGATACAACAGAGCCGAGGTTCGGTTTAAGAATTACGTTCTTTCTTCTAACTAGTACTAAGACCTTTTTTCAGTTGATTGAAATGGCGACGTCGTCATTTTAAAATTAATTTAGTAGTAAAAAAAAACTCACATCAACGTTATTACAGCCGTTGAACAACTATGTATGTCGAAATACAAATAAACTAATTTAAAAAAACTAGTTAATACATCAACAATGTTCATCAATCGACAAACATGTACAATTGTACAATCAATTACAAATATTCAAATCCATAAATAGAAAATTACTACGCAAAATATTTAATAAACTATTAACAATAAAATTCCTTACCACAAAAACATGAAAACATCAATCAAATAATTAACCAACCGACAAAAATAGATACAGATAGATATATAGCAAAAAAAGATAACAAAAAATCAACGTTTCAAGTAAACAAGACTATTAGAACTAAATAAAAGATTTTTTTATGTGATAATCGAGGAGAGGAATTACCTGATGGTAAGCAATTGTCGGTCTTGGACACCCGTATGACCAGAGGAGTTACGATTGTATTAGGATTGCGTAGAGTTTTTTAGGGATTGGGAAGGGATAGGGGAAGGATTGGGTCAACAAGTCTTTAAAAGCTTTTTCTGCATATCCTTCAGCAAGTACCTAAGGAAGGGGTGAAATATATTAAGTGCCTTTTTACAACATCTAAATAGCCGTTATGTACAAGATAAACTTGCGTACAGGACGTATATTACGCCCTATGCCCTATTCCGGTGTTTATCCTATGCCGGTGCCAAATTTCATCTAGATCCGTCCAGCTGTTTTGACATGATTGAGTAACAAACATTCAAACATCCAAACGTCGTAACTTTCGCATTTATACCTAATATTTGTAAGATAGTAAGATAAGATATGTCATAATTATGTTATATAAAATTTTAATAAAGGAACGCCAGAATATCGATGTGAACACAACGATCATGTTGTGTTTCGCCGTGTAAATTTGGGGAGGCCCAATCTTCCCCCCTCACCCAATTCTCATTCCCCAAATCCCCTTTCCGTAAAACTCTAACTACCTGCAAAAGGCCGGTAGCGCACTTTATAGTAACCCTCTTTAGTATTTTACTGGTGACCATAAGCGGCGACAACTGCTTACCATCAGGTAATTCGTCAGCTCGATTGCCAACATGAGGCAGGCCATAAAAAGAGGTGGTTAAACAGGCCCTAAGTAATGCTCTCCCACTAAATCCGGTCCGAATCCGATCCGAACTATTTCTATGGTTAGCTCACGCACTATATTCGTGTCATCAGATTTCCCGATTTTCAAATAATAATATTTTCTCGGTTTTGGATTGGAATAGGATCGGACGAAGTGCTGAAGCGCTCCAATTTTATAATGTGTACCCACTTTTCACTAAGTGAGAATGCGATTCTATAAAAACAAAACTAATATTATAAATGCGAAAGTAACTCTGTCTGGTTGTCTGTCTTTTCTTCACACCTAAACTACTGAACTAGTTAGTGTGAAATTTGGTACAGACATAGTTTGGAATCGATAAAGGACATAGGATAGTTTTTATTCCGCAAATCCCGGGGGAGCGGGAACTTCTCAAATATCCCGCAAGATCGGGAGCTATGTAGGCTAAACCAAAAATCTGCCGGTAGACACTATTCCACGCGAACGAAGTCGCGGGCAAAAGCTAGTATATTTATAAAGGTCACGTATACTAATTAAAGGACATAGCGAGAAACACATGTCCTAATTATTTTCTTTGTGAATTCTGATCATAATATTAAAAGTATGTTGACACAGAACCGGTTTTATCTACAAACACAGCTACAATTTAGCCGTAAGTAGTACTTATATCCGGGTATGAGCTAAAATACAAAAACCCTTTATATATCTTTCGACTTTGTGTATAAAAAACTAGTTATTTGACCTTCGCCACTTTCCCGCAACGAAAGCTTTGTATAAACATTATTTTTTTAATTACTATTAAACTCTAAAGCCGTATCCGCATTGTTGTAGCTATGTAATTTGAATTCTATACTTTTGTTTTTTGGATTTACTTTTCTGTGAAAGTTGTCAAGGACATACTTAAGTACCTATTATTAATATTTTCCTTCAAAAAAGTACAGGACTATAGGATGTTTCTTTTCGCTATAAAATAGTGATTAGTAGGTAGTCATTTATTAAGGGACTATTGCGGTCTTTCTGGTCGAATTATATTACATAGTTACATACCTACTTATATATGTAATAGGTGAATGTGTTTGATTGAATTTAAACCCAAACAAAATAGGTACACGGTTGCAGATCAAGCTATAGGTAGAAACCAGTTTATCATGATCTCGCTTTGTGTGATGTTTCCGCACATTCACTGGTCAATTGATACTAGTCTTTATTAACTTGATGTACAAAAGAAGTTTTTCTACGTACAATTACTTGACAATCTTCGCATTTGTCATAACTTAGTTTTTAAACTTGGTAGACGTTAAGGCGATAGACACGTTTATGACATACGGCGTCTGATTGGCTTGCTCCAAATTGACGAACCAATCAGAGAGCTAAACGGCAACGTTGGCACGAAAGAGACTATTCCTTAAATGATTTCAAATTCGAATATATAGTACTTCTGAACACCGGATTCTTAGAATACGGTAGTTTTCAACTAGTCAAATTCAATACTTTTATCCAAATGTCAAAAACGATACTTTTCTATGAAATTTGTATGAAAAACTGAGTTATGACGTTATAGTTTTTTTTTTTGCGTCAAATACATAGTTTACTTATTTCTTAAAAATTTGCTAAAAAACTAAAATTCAGTTTATCGATCGAGATTGATGAATAAAAGTATAGTTATTTTTCAACATTTTATTGTATTGAAACGTCGAATTAATTTATTTGTGACCTAAGAAACTACTCAATTCGACGCACTTTGGAATACGCATTAGTTTACAGTTTGTTTAATACAAAACATTGGCAACATTAGCTTGTCTTAATACTTTAATTGTACAGTCGTTACTGAGCAGAAAATCACTCAACCGTTACAAATACTCATCTAAGTATGTGTGTATCTTGAAACAGGTTATTACATGTTTTTTTGTTCATCTAGTAAGTACCTACATACGTAGTTGTTGTTTATTATTTGCATTGTTTCAAGTTCTTAAACTTGGAGTTGTTGAACGTCTTCTTAACCAGTGAACTAGTTTTGAACGACTTAGCGTTTGCGAGATTCGTAACGGCCATTTCTAGAATCAAAAGTTCAGCTCCTTCTTCTCTGGTCTTGATACTGGTGTGCATTTTCTTTCGTTGACCACTTTCTACCAGGTGATATGCGACCTTCTTTTTCCGTTATCCCCATAAATATGGCTTCATACAGTTCGGGACATCAATATTAATTATGAGTTTTTATGACGTCCGGTCTCAAGGACGACTACCGAGCCGTATTGAGGGCTTGGCTAAGTAAAAAATGAATTATTTCGACTTATCAATGTTGGAATCAAAATTAAATAAAAGAAATAATCACAATTTAAATATTTTACGATATACAAAACTTTGTATTTTTTACGCAAAAACAACATGATGTCACAACACAGAAATTCGAACGCACAAAAATGATAGAATATTGTTGATTTTGTAATTGTTAATATGAAAAATATATGTATGAGGGTTTAAAAGTAGCCAAATGAGTTTAATATCGTTTTGCACACACTCTATGTCATAGAACCTATATGTATACAGGTATACGTATATGATATATACCTGTACTTAAAAAAACCGTTTGAAATAAGCAAAGAAATATTTTATAACTCATTGTTTGTAGATAAAAACAAAAAAAGAATACTTTCCTATGAAAAAAACACTCGCCTATTTATATATCAAAGAAGATACTAAAAGATAGAAACTTTTTAAATAACTTACTTAGTTCAATTTTGTATAAGTAGGTACACCCACACATAGATATTGATTATTTATTTCATGCCTTCGCTTCCTAGCGACAACAAACTCCTTAGGTAGGTAAATACCTACGATATTTTTACCGAACTTCGCAAAAAAAGTATTAAGTAGGTACCTACGTACAGAACTTTTACACGACCTCTTTAGTCAGTCTTTAAATAAAAAAAAAACAATTTATTGTTCTTTAAAGAGGAATAAAAGTAATAAAGTAATCGTCACGAAGTTTGTAAAACGAACAATATAAGGTTGTAAGTACGTTGAATGAATGGAAACGAATGAATGATGAATGAAAACTTTATGTGGTAGAACGGTAGAACATAGGTGGCGACAATTTTAGAGTTTCACTATATTCGTAGACAATAATTATTTATTTAAAATACTTTGTACATTAGTAAAATAACCAGGTGACACAGAAAAGACTTAACCATCTTATATATTACAACCAAACAAACTTACAAAAATTTATTCAACAACTGTGACTCATAAACAGCATTGCTTGACACATGACGAAGCTACCGTCACGCTGGTTAGCTTGAAAATAGTCGAATTATGTTTTCAAAAAGTGATTAAAAGAAAAAATAATTTAACATGTCTCACGAAATTTAAAATGTCAATAATAATAATGTTTAAATTTACAGAAGTTGCTTACAGCCCGTTGTTTGAGATAAGGAATCTGTTTTCTAATGTTCTTTTAACGCACGTAGAAAGTAGAAATTTATGTGTAGTTTTAACATACTTAATATACGTAGTAGTAGAATTGTACTATCTAATTTAACAATTAATATTTCGCTTATACTTAATTTCTTGTTCTTATAAAACTTATCGTAGCTTATTCGTAGTACCTACACTTCTTCTTGATTAATTTTGTAATAAAAAAATAAAAATCATTGTTAGTAACAAGATCAGATCAGGCTCCGGCGAGAAAGAGGGATGGAGCTATACACCTTTTATAGCTCCATCCCTCTTTCTCGCTCGGAATATTGACGCTTTAAAACGTCATGGTAGGCCTCTCTGGCATAAATGGTAAGCCAAAATATCGTTGCAGGGTTAATTTTGATTGTAATATCATTTTAAAATTAATTAGTGTTGCGGATGTCCATGGGCGGCGCTGATTGCTTACCATCAGGTAATCCGTCTGCTCGTTTGCCGACCATAAAAAATATAAGTATCCAAATCTGAAAAATAAATTTATTTCTCCATACAAATCGCAATAGCTAAATGAACATTTTGCATGGAGAAGTAATTTTTTTTTTTTTTTTGAGTATTCCATGTTGGTCTTATGGAAAAATTTGTTTTATTTGAGCATAAGAATCGGGTCCTTGAAGATGTCCATCGCTTATTAAACCTTGCACACTGTATAAGGTGCTATAAAAATAATAAATACACATTCGTTATTTAACCCAACTTGGTTTCGACATCAACTTGACAAGCCTGTCTATAAATAAGTACATATTATATTACATAACCCTATAAATAGAAAAAAAAAAAATAATTTCCTAAAATAAATTAACTTATTAATATCTAAATATGGACAAGTTTTATAAACGGTTTCAAATTAATTTGATCATTTTGTGGTTGATAACATTTTCGATTTGGTTAAAATGTCTGTGTAGCAGTAGTTAAAATCAGATTATCGTGTCAACGAAATCATGCTATACCTATTGTGTCCCGGAAAACTATTTCACAATTAATGTTTTTGGAATAAAACTGTATGTGTGATGTGGCTGTGTGGTTTCTTAAACCACAAAATTGTCGAAATAATGCGATTAATCATGCAATCAGTTAAATACCTCATTTAGGTACTATGTCATATGCGTTCCGCGCGCGCCTCAAAGAGCCAATAGACCACCACACACGGGGCCATATAGGGCTGATATTTTTTTGGGGTTGCAGGGCAAGCGCAATAACTAGCGCAATAACGAGGGTTTTTTAAGTTAGTAAGAATCTGACACTCTCTCTCGCCTCACCCTGGGCGGGAGAAGTCATTTGATCATTTTACCCTCACAAAAAATGCACAATGTAATATGTTGATTATTTACTGCATCTTTTAAGCGGTAGTTGGGCCAGTGATACCTTGCCTTTCCCGCTCGGAACAACCCATGTTCCAGTGTGAAATGTATAAAGAAGTTTCTTTATAAATGAACACAACACCAAAAAGAAAAAAATACTAAAATCTTACGACAGTTATGTAGGTATTATAAGACAGACAGACAGTACACATTTATTGTGCAGTAAAATGAAAAGACGTTTGTAACTTGTATGAACAGAGTGAGTGAGAGAAATGCAGATGGCATAGGCTTATATATACTTATATTGTAAATGTTAATTAACCCGTTGTAATTAATAGAAAATACATTGTGTCTCGCGTGGATCCACGTTTAAGACATACGAAAGGTTAAAATTGAAAGGTCTATCAATGGCAAAGTAATAAAAGTATTGTTGCCAAGAGAGAAAACTACCTAGATGTTTACTACACTATTATTTAGTTTAGTGTAACTTAAATTAAAGAAAATTACTTACCTAATATGATTTCGTTATAGTTTTTCCATTAACAAAACCTAACTTAAGTTGGTTAATACTTATGTACATACTAACTTTTGCAACCATTGAATCTACCTAACATATAGATATATAGATAGCTGATAAAAATATAAAATAACTTTAAATTCTAAACATCAATAATAAACCACAATTTTCTTGAAAATCAACCACAAAATGTAACCATGCACTAGTAGAAAATCCACCCACAAAATTACTAATATGGAACTAAACTTTCTGATGATTTGACTATAATATTGTTTTAAATATCCTCAGGCTCAATGTGGTAAGGTGGTGTTGAACCCAATCCCACTGGTGGTGAATGGAACACCTACGCTGGAAGGTCAATGGCCGTGGCAGATCGCTTTGTACCAGACTCAGGTAATAATTAGCTGTATTTACTTTATGGGAGGAAGAATAAAAAAAATCGCATAATTGTGAGAAAGTTTGGAAGAGCCATGCTTTGGCATGAATGAGTCAGACCGAATACATACTACGGCGTCAAAGAACACCGGCGTGAAACAACCAGTGCGTTGTTTTTCGTCGTGTGATTGAGGCAACTGAAGGCCCAATTCTTTTCTCCTCCAATCCTTAAATTTCTGGAAGCCCCAAGAGACCGGCAACGGACTCGTCATTCGTCTGGTCTTACCGTATGCATGGGCAGTGCCGATTGCTTACCATCAGCGCTTTTGGCGAGCTAGAAGAGAAAAGAAAATTAAACGTGGTCAAATATTTCCTTTTACAATTTTTTTTGTTATTTTTTTTTTCATGTAATTGTTTTTTACAAGGCAATAACAACAGGTAACAAGTCTTAAGTCAATTAAGTCTTTATTTAAATCTTATCTAGAGTCATGACTATATAGTGTTTACTACTTCGGAAAACACATGCCCTTAAGCTTTACATTACAGTTAGGTTAGGCATATTCTACCAAGATCAACGTTTCACGCCATTAGCATCTCCAAAATCAGAATTATTTAAAAGCATAAAGTTTATATCTATTTAATCCCTGATTCCCTTAATAACTCCTCTAATTCTTGTCTTCCAGACAGTAGACAACAAGTACATCTGTGGAGGCACCCTGGTTAGCCACAAGCATGTCATCACGGCAGCTCACTGCGTCACGAAAAAGTCTTCACAACTGGTTGTTGACAAGAACACCCTCACCGTCTACTTGGGGAAACATAACCTCAGGACTTCTGTTGACGGCGTCCAGATTCGATTTGTAAGTTTACCCTTAATTATTTTAGAATTAGGGCTGATTTTTCAATGGAAGGTAAAATAAAAATTATGTGGGGAATAATTTATGATGCTGTCGCTTCAGAATGTTTGTATAAGACAGTGACAGCAACAATTTTATCTAACCATTGGAAAAATCAGGCCTTAATGTGATAAGTCTTATTTATCGCAATGTAAAGGCTGCGTATCTACACTCATTGTCATTACCTTCAAAATGTTTGATTACCAGCCTATAAGGCACCTTCCGACACGGATAAGGATCACCACGCTTGTTCAAGACGGTCTCGCGTAGGTACTGCCAAAGAATTATCGAAAAACCAATAAATCGCCAATAATACTTTGCATCGGAATCTTGCCCCTTGTGTAACCGATAGTCACTAATGCAACCACAGTCCAATAGATAACTTCTTCGCAATAATCGGCACTCATACTCAATACTAAATTATTTATTACCGTTACATAAGTTCTACAGGTGGTATTTTTATAAAGTTAAAACAATTGGGTAGTTTCCTAGGTAAAAAATAAATTAATTCAACGTTTCATTACTATAAAATATTGAAAAATAACTATACTTTTATTCATTGATCGATCGATACAACAAGATTTACATTTTTTAGCTAATTATTGTGAAATAAGTAAGCTATTTGACGCAAAAATGTTATGACGTCATAGCTCAGTTTTTCATACAAATTTCATAGAAAAGTATCGTTTTTGACGTTTGGATAAAAGTATTGAATTTGACTAGTTGGAAACTACCGTATTATCAACTTTATTTAGAAACAATATCCGAAAGGTACAAAAAGGTTAGAGAGGTTTCAATGAAGTCTTAACATAAGTAAATACATAATAGTATTCTCAATAACTGTCCTGTCAGAGTCTAAAAAATACTAAATTACTATTGCTTTATCGTCTATCTAAATTTACTTTAAAACTCTTAGTTAGCACTCAACTAAACCTATCTTCAAAAACTTACATCTTTGAGCTCTGCTCTCTTCATAAAGCCTCTATGACTGACTAATGAGCTCCTGTAACTTTGAACTCTTTACATTCATAGTTTTATTTGTTCGCATCAACCACTTTAGAAACTCTAGAACAGAAATACTTGGTTCTCGCTTCCTTTTCTGTGTAAATTTTATAATTAAACCCCTTTTTTATTGCTCACAAAAATTGTTATCAAATGAATTAATTTCTTCGTAGGAAGTAAGTTTATTAAAATTAGGGTGATATTTTTTTAAAAGCCTCATTGAAATAAGAAAAATGTGCTGCGTAATTACATACCTATTGTCATTAGGTATTTCAGAAAGCAAAATGGTTTTCCTATTTTTAATATTAAAATTATTTTGATAGACCAAATTATAGTGCATAGGTACTCGTAGATACTGCACACATGGCCATAGTTGCAAATAAAAATAAGCACTCAAACCGTGACATAAAATATCAGGTTTAAAAATCAAGTCTTTTGTTGTGATCTATCTATATATGTATATTATTATATAAAAATCAATGCCATCTTTCGTTGTAATGTTATAACCCAACAATGCCTTTACCGATTTTGGCTAATTTTGGTCTTGAATTATTCCTGGAAGTCCAGGGAAGGCCAAGGAAAAACAAATAGTTATATTTGGGGCGGTACGGAATTCGCCAGATTACCTAGTTAAACCTTAAAGAAATTGAGAAAGACTCTAAAAATGGCGCCACAAATTGACATATTTGTATTACGTTAGGTAAGAAAAAAAAAATACTATGTATTAGACAGCGGCACTATGATCGACAATACTAGTAAGGAGACTCTAAAGCCATTAAAAAAAACTACATATTTACTTATTAATATTTCCCGCCATTCCTACCAAAGAGTTTAATCAACATTCCGAGGAAATAGATTACCTCCTTTGTTTGTTAGGGTCACGAATTACAAAACAGGATCAAATCCACAAGATTAATTAACTGGTGACTAAGGGGTGCTGTCTATTGCTAAATTTACAACTGATCGATTTAGGCGGCAAACCCTTGAATAGGTTTGGGAGAATAAATTATTGACGGTGATTAACACTATTGCGGGGGAAAGTGATAATGCCGTTTTGAAATGTTAAGGATTAGTAAACTCACCCGACAATTTATCTGAGCATGAAGTTAAATTAGTTGTTTGTTATAACTTTCATGAGATATTTAATTAATCAAATATGTTTATTTGTCAGGTTATTTCGCCGAATAGTTCTCGGAGTAAGATGATAAACATTATTTAATTGATAAAGTACCTATACGAAGTTACCAGTAGGATATGTTTTTAGGTTTTCGATAATTTCTCAACATGAGCACGGATTCTCTGTGTCTACCTATCCCATGATAGTTTAAAAGGTGAAACGTTATAATTAGCTAATGATAAATAAATAATAAATACGCGAAATTTACGTCTTAACAAAATTTTCCAACCTGAAAAAAACCCTGCAGATATTTCCACAACAAAAAACATAAATTAAAAAGAACATTTTATAAAAAAAGGCAAACGAAAATAAACTCTAATGACGGGCATTAAAAGCATTAAGAGACGATAAATGAGTGCATCCCACACGGACAGGGATGTCACGTCACGTTATGGTCATATTACGTCCTATTAGTAACCCCTATAGACACACATGTAACATTTTCCTGTTTATGCAAGCCCTGACTTGAATATTTATAACTAGACTTGTATCCCTGATACCCACTGTGTTATCATGAAATAGCTGCGTATTGAACATGAAAAAAGATGTCTCGTCTTTAAATTCCAAAGCTCCCAAGACATTGAATGCACCTTGTAACTCACCTAGTGTTCCAGGTATATGCGTTAGGGGGGGGGGATGGCCCAGGGCGACAAATTCTGGAGGGCGCCATGGTCTGAAGTCGGAGTTTCTTGCCTCTCCTAGTGCAAACACCCTCAAAACTATGCTCATACATTTTTATTTTACTTGGGATCAGATCAAAAATGTAACACTTGATATTGTTTCCCTCAAGTGGGCGCCACGATATTTTCGCTCGGGGTGTCAGTGGCCCTTACGCCGGCACTGGTATACGTGGGTGACATCGGTTGCTTGTCTTTATATATGTAGGTGGTCCAAAGGTTTGTTTATTTTTGCCCATAAAAAAATTGGTTTTTCGGATTTTTTTATAGTCATGGAGTCTGGAATTGTGCCCATTATATAGACTATGGTTTACCCTTATTACACGATAACCCCGTGACTTTTGTAGCAATGGTCTTACAAGGACTTTTATCATTATTTACACATTTTACTTCAATTTAGATGTATTGGTTGATGTAGCAACTGCGGTATGTGCCATGCCGCAGCTTGAATTTATTCATTTAATCAATAATCTCATTAGAGTGATCTATAAATTGCTATTATAGATCAGAAGTGAAGTGTCAATGCACAAATGTCGCAAAAGAAAGACCCTGATTATAACATGACGATTTTCATTCATTTTTTACTCGTATTTTCAGGTTGGCAACATAATAGTTCATCCAGACTACAATGCTACCACCTTCAGCCGCGATGTCGCCATTCTGGAGCTTCGGGAGTCAGTGACGTACAGCGACTGGGTCAGACCTGCTTGCCTGTGGCCAGACAACGAGACATCTTTGAAGAATGTCATTGGAAAGAAGGGTTCGGTATGTATTTAGAAACATAGCGCCACAAAGACCATTCTTAGAAACAAAGCATGAATCTAAACACATAATTTAGTAGACAGGTAATCTATCTAGGTACCATTATAAGGAATAATCCAGCAAGCCAGCAACTAATAGCTTTCTAACAGATTAAATAGCACACAAATTGCGCCAAACCTGCGCCACAGATTAGTAAAGTCGGACAGAAAACAGATCTATGGTTCGAGTGGTCAATTAGCAACTTTATGGATGGAGCGGGCAAAGGCAGCGTCCATTCTGCCGGGAAACTCGCTGCAACTGCAGTTTTCCCGAATACCGTAATTATCCAACGCTTCACTGGCGAACGGTCAATTAGCACTTTCTCTTAATTAACTAGCTGCAATTGCGATAACGGATAAATAATTGTTATTTTGACACTTTGTAACTTGTCAAAATAATTGGGAATATGTTTTTGTTTCTTTTTAAACTATAACTGAATCAATCACTGTCTATGCACTCTACGATGGGATTGCGGGGTAAGCGCAATGAGGCAGCGCGACTTCGGCCCAGAGCAGGAGAAGGAACAGGGGGGTTTTTAGGCAGTAAGAGTGACACTCCCTGCCGCCCTGCCCTGGGCGGGAGAAGACATTTTTGATGATTCTCCCCTTACAAAAAAAAAACGATGGGATCATTTTGATGATATCTCTGGTTCTTTAGTAAAATACCAAAAATAGTACCTATAGGTATCTAATTCATTTGGATATAGGTACATCTCTGCAGTTACTTTCGTTACCTTTGACGTTATGGAAGTGATTAGTACAAAATATATCTACCAAATCTTTTTTTAGAATATACACTCAAAGAGCTTAAGTCCGCTTATTAAAAATATGAAACGTACAAAAAGGCATTACCATAGCTAATGTGCCCCACCTACTTACATATTAAATAAGCTTAATTAAGTATATCCTCATAGGAAGGTTTTACGAAAACCTAAAACGGGTTTTAGGGGGAGGGAAAGTATTAACATGGATTATAATATAATCCTTCCGACTTGCGGAGGTGGAAATGTTTAACTTTCCATGTTAAGTCTAATTTGTGGAAGATTAGAAGAATATGACGACGTAATAGCTACTCTCGCGCGGTTTCACCCGCTGCTCGGCACCGTTTAATCGTAGCGTGATGTTTTATAGCCTATAGCACTCAGGAACATTGTAGCTATCTATCAGTGAAAGACTTTCGGCAATCCGATAAGCGGTTCCAAAGATTACCCCCTACATAAAAACTTACATATTTTACCTTTTTATAATATTAGTATAGACTAGCTTCTCCCAGCAGTTTCACCCGCGATACTGGAGTATCTAAGGACTCAAATCTAACCAAAATTTATTACTAAATAAATTATTTTACTTAATAATACGTAATTAACAGACTGTACTTATTTAAAATTTATATTCTAAAAATAACTGGAGACAATTAGGTACTTTTGCTCATTATTCTAGCATTGTTAACGCTTGGCGTAGCGTTATCTGGTTATTGGATTAAGATGTTTCGAGTGCTTATTAATGTTAGGCGTGAATTATTGTATCAAGTAGGTACTAGGTATTTACATTATTACTCTTCTGTATGCAAAATTAGGCAAAATAATGCTCACTCCAGTAGGACTTTTATATTTCTATTCAAATAAACGTTTAATCGTTTTGAACCTAAAACCGGAAACCTGCAAACTTTACCAATGTTTTGTAAAAGACAGCTAAATACTTAGGTGCTAGAAATATGTCCCAACATAAGTGAAACCTACTTCACAATTGAAAATAAGAGGTTTTAAATACGAGTTTATTAAATTTCTTAATGTAACTAGCTAATTTAGTATTTTTGTAAATTCCAGGTTGTAGGCTGGGGTTTCGACGAGACAGGTGTCGCTACCGAAGAGTTAAGCTTAGTTGAGATGCCGGTTGTGAGCCAGGAGACTTGCATCAGGTCATACAGCGAGTTCTTCGTGCGATTCACTTCAGAGTATACCTACTGCGCTGGATACAGAGATGGTAAGTTTTTTTTTTCACATGAAATAAATTGTACGTACTTCATATTTATAGGGTATCCAAAAATATATTTCAATTTTTTAACTCATAATAATTAAATGAAAAGTCTATCGTGTCCAGCTAGGGCTTCTGGTTGATGCTTATAAAAAATATAACAGTAAAAATGTATGTACCTATAACTTTAGTATTGGAAGAAAATTGGCGAGAAAAGCTGAAAAAAAGCCTGAAATGTTCAAGTTTAATGCTCTAGGTAACAGTTAGAACCTTATCTCTTTATATTTGGCTATCTTCCGTAGGTACTTACGGATATTAATTCAAATCCCTTAGTAACGATTTTATTTCGAAAACAATTACCTTTTAAGGACTAGGACAAGGAATCATTGTAATTATTATGGATTTTGAATGTATTATGTAGTCAAAGTAGTCATATTTAGATACTTGAAGAAATTCTACTTCCACGTGAAGCAGCCGGGGTGACACGGGTGCGAGCAGAACTCGGTTGTTTTTTTTTTTAGTAAGAATCTGAAACGCTCTCTCGCCCCACCTAGAGCGGGAAAAGAAATATTAAGACGTTCCCCTTAAAAAAGAATTTACTTACTCGTAGCTGTTTTTGTACCTACATAAAATATAATTTGTATATCTTTCTCTCCGCTTGCTATATCTTCTCTTATCTTTTACTTTGGCTTACTTCAAGCATAATAAGTACCTATTGATTCATGTTAGTATTTAAAATTCTTCAACTAAGTAGGTTTCTATCGAAAGTACCTATCTATATGCAAAATTATATATCTATTTGGCAAAACTATTTTTTTGCGAATAATTATTAAAATTTTAACTCAATTTGTGATATATGTAATTGGCTAGCAATAACACTCAAACTGAAGGGTACAAAGACTGTAACAGCATTTACCTACATAATAAAATGTATAAGTATTAAACTTGTAAATATCGATAGGTGGAAATTATCTGTGGAGGCTTGTTATTGGCAATTTAAGTTTTTGTAATATGTTACTTATAATATTGTGATTAGTCCGTAAGCGTTCTCTAAGTACAAATAAAAAATAAATCATTTCATAAGCCATAGCCATACTAAGTTCCTATACTTTACAGTTCCTATCAATAAGAGTCATCCCCTGCTTCTTTAAAGCCATCCAGCAATTTTAGGAGAACACGCCCTTCTTGTAAAAATTACAGGCTGTAATCTATCGTAGGTAGTAAATACTTTAACTGACTTGAATTGATTGAAAATGCCTTGTTTTACATTATCAAATAACGTACCTAAATATGTCCAGGCGTTAGAAAGCAGATCTAGAAAATTAAGCAGAGACTAGCTATTTGCCTAACTTTTAATCGGTTATTGAGCCGACTGTCTAAAGATCTTCATTAAAAAATACCTATTTTAAGCAAGGTACTTTCTTTTCGTCTTTATTTAAGTACTTCAAATATACCTTCACCTTTAAATGTACCTTCCTCTGCAATCTTACCCTACCAAAAGATCTCTTTATAACAAGCCATTTTCTTTTAAAATTTCCAAATCAACTGTATCTAATAATTATATTGATATTGTACATAAGTAAGTAGTTTGGCTAGCATAATAAAATGCTTGTTGCTTCCAGGACACTTCAATGAACAAACCGGAGTTAGGGAAAGTATGTTCATTTGTTTAGTTTATTTCATAACCTAACTAGGTAATGGTGGCACTATACTCGGACATATTGCTTTATAAACTTTTTATTTTAATGCACAACTAACTACTATAGCTTTAATTGCCAATTAAATTACGTATATGTAAGAATTTTTAGGCCATTCCGTGTCAAGGTAAGTATGTTATTATATTGTTACCATCTAATACTAAGTATCTAAGTACTTGTTATTAGTGACTTTCCTTTACTATCTGCCTGTAGGTACCTTCTCGTTAATAATCATAATTAATATCTCAAAATGAATAATAATAGGTCTTTACCTATGAAATTGCCGTTCTGCTGTACTGGCCATTTCCAATCAAAATAGTTTTTGTTACGCTAAGGCTAATTAATTTTATTTCAAAAACATAGGATTCTTTTTCAAAAGTAGTCATTTGTTTATTGATTAGTGTTACATTTTCATCGCATTTCAAATAAAAAAATTCGTTAAATTTTTTTCATGCAAAACGGCAATTTCATAGGTAAAGACCTATTATAATAATTCACTAGAGCCACTGCACAGCAATGGAGAGTCGAGGTAGCTAACGTGATAGAGACGTGCCGCGATTGTTTAGTCAACCCGAGTAAGCCCGAGCATATGGCGCAGCTCGAAGAGCCAGCAGACGATTACGCATGGCGTCCATTAGGGCTGATGCCCGGCCGGAGTTATAAGTAAAGTCCATGACGTACCGCGGCCAGGCTCGTCTTTCAGTTAGTTACAGTCTAAATTATTAATTTTTATTCTTAGCAACTAAATTACTTCTTTAACGGATTTTTTTTACTTATTATTTAATGCCTCCGTCTTACCTAACTATGGACTACTTATTTCTTATTTAGTTTACGTATCTACCTAATTTATTTATAATTTTCTTACTGTAAGAAATCTGTGCCTACTACCTATAGCACCTGTTTATAATCTAGTACCTTTTTAGTTCAAGTAAGTTAGGTAATTACTAATAAACTAATGCTACCGCACTTATGCCGAACAGAGACGGCAAATAAGTACCAACTTACTTACTTTAAAAAAAAAACTGGTGATTAATGTGGATCTGGTAGTTAATATTCTGGCATAAGGTTTCTATAAGAATAACACTTAATATTGTTTTTAATTACTTATGCATGAAAGTAATAGTAGAAAGTCTGAATTTAATTTTCCTTGTAGGTAACTATGTTTTATTGTAAGTCATTTAGATAGCTAACCAGCGTTAAAAAACACTTTTATAATCTTCAACATAAAATAAATAGTTAAATAAGTGAAAAAACTTTGGAATTCCATCTTGAAATTATTCTTGTTGGCGTATTTATACATCGTGTACCTATTACCTAATCTACTTAATTGTTTAGGTGTAAGTACCTACCTAAGAAATTAAGTAGATGACACGATGAATTAATACTTTTAGGTAGGTATGTGTACCTACACATACCTACTACCTACCTAAATCTTTAAAGATTAAACCAAATGACAGTAGGTACGTAATGAAGAACCATTTACTTAGGCCTAACTACGTAACCAAAATCTAAAAAAAAAGAAATAAGTATAGCATTTTTGTATGTTCTAAATTTACCTTTTAATTTCTAGGTACTTCAGTCTGCAATGGCGACAGTGGTGGCGGTATGGTCTTCAGGATGGGAGGCACTTGGTACCTTCGTGGTCTCGTCTCCTTGTCAGTGGCCAGGCAAAACGAGTACCGGTGCGACCCGTCGCATTACGTGATATTCACAGACTTAGCCAAATTCTTGCCATGGATCTACCAGAATGTTTATGATTTTTGATCTTGTTAACGTTAGGTATTGAAGACTAATTTTGTTTATGAAGAGTACCTTTGCAGCTAGGTTACGCTAATGCGCAAGATACGATTTTGCGCAACTGTCATTTAGCCGCAGGTAGGTAGGTTTGCGCAAATGTTGTTTTGGCACGAAACATTGTGACATTATGTTCACAGTAGTTACACTACCTACATACCTTAATAAGTTTTCTCACAGAAAAATTGATAGGAATACTAATAAGTACTTACACCTTTCAATTGTATCTTACCTACATCACCTGAATATTTGCTCATATTCATATGTACAATTTAACTTTGAATTATATTCTTAATTAATTGAAGTCTCCTGGGATAACCTAAACAAAGTTAGTCTTTGTAAATACTTAAAAGCTCCGCCATTTTGATACGGCAGCCATTTTCTTTAAGTAAGTAATAAGTTATTATTGTATTACATTTTAAAATTTATTGATAGCAGACGAATTATATTATTATAAACACGTAAGGAGAATGTTAGAAATAATTTATAAATTGGAAAAATATGGCAAAATAGCGAGTTAAGACGAATAAGCCTCGAGTTTAAAAGGGCGTAATCACAAATGTACCTAAATGTTGTTACGACTTTTTGATCTCAATTTATCGATGTTGTTTTATTAAAAATATCGTACCTATCTCCTTGGAAAAATTGACGCCGTAATACCTGACTTCTACTCAAATTATTATCTTAACGTCAGATTGTATCTATATCTCTTAAACAGTATGAAGATATCAAAAATATCCATTAGAGTACTTAGTTTATCGGTAATTTTGATGTTAATTTAAAATATTAGTGCAAAAAGAACGCCGTTGACCGTTATGTTCAAATTCGACTTTAGGTAATGTTTTAAATATTTAAATGATGAAAATACTATACCTCTTGCACTTATTAATTAAGTAATAAAAATACTGTGCTTTTTAATATGAAGTGGTCCATTCTATTTGAAAGTTTGGCGTAAGGATAGTATAATCTTTTTGTATCAACATAATACATGTAATAATAAATGTACCTAATCGATTTGAAATCGTTAGACTGGAGGCTACCATTTTTGTTGCTCACTAAATGTCGCTAATAGGTCACAACCAGTTTGTCCAATCAATACAGCTGTCAAAAATCAAATATCCAATAATCTCACATTAGCTAAATTCTTTTGGACAAATACAGATCTAAACTAGCGCCATCTAGTGTGCAAGAAACGTTACCCCCGTCATAATTTAATTGTTGTTTTAACTGTGTGCCTCTTGTTAATTAAATTGTCCATGGAATATATTTCTTTCCTTATACCTATTAGAAATAGTTAAATATCCAACAACGTGCATGATACTGTAGTTTTGATATTAAAATATTGTATTTATGTAGACTGATAAAATAATAATTATTAATTATGAACAATCAATAAATACATTCCAATTAAGTGAGAAATTTGAGATTCTGTTTTTTACTCGGCCACCTTGGCTCTAGTACCAATCTACCCACCTTTACCTACCATTTCCTTTCTGATTACTTTTCACAAGGGCTTAGTGCCAAATGCCAGACAAAAAATAAACCTTTTAAAACTAAAAGAAGAAATGTCTTTTTTCATAAAAAAATTATAATAGGTCTATAAAAACCTATGAAATTCCTATGAAATCTAAAGTAACCTATGAAATTGCCGTTTTGCATGAAAAAATTCAAACGATTTTTTTGATTTGAAATGCGATGAAAATGTAACACTAATCAATAAACAAATGACTACTTTTGGAAAAAGAATCCCATGTTTTTAAAACAAAATTAATTAGCCTTAGTCTAACAAAAACTATTTTGATTTGAAATGGCCAGTACTGCAGAACGGCAATTTCATAGGTAAAGACCTATTATAATTTATCATGAAAATGATGTTAAGTATCAAAAAGAAGAGTAAATATGACGTTGAATTAAAATGACAGATGAAAATGTAGGTATACTAGGTACCTACTCTTTAAATAATGAAGTGGATAGTTATGTGTTCAACTTGCAGATTTTTTTATGTAATAAGTCGGCAAACGAGCTGACAGACTACCTGATAGTAAGCAATCAGCGCCGCCCATGGCAACGGAGGAGTTACGAGTGCGTTGCCGACCTTTTAGGGATTAGGGTTTTGAAGATTTAGGGATTGGGGAAGGATCGAGGGAGGGGAAGGATTGGTTCTCCGATAACCTCACTCACAAAGCGAAACAAGCAGTGGTTGTTTCACGCCGGTTCTCTGTGCGGCCGTGGTATCACTCCGGTCGAGCTCCTTAATTTTAAAGATAAGGTTATAATATTGAATGCTAGTTTGGAAACATACAATAATGTTGATCCAATCGTGGGTAAGACGCTGCTTGACGATGAGCCTGATGCTAGTAATTTCGAAAAGCACAAAAATAGATTGCGATTTCAGATAGCAACTAGGCTTAAGCCTTTAGCGAATCTTTTAGGTAATCGGCTGCAATAAATAACCAATCTTAAATTTTTGGCATTCAGTACATATCTATAATTCTTTAAAGAACTTGATCGATCTAGATATTATCTTCTGATATTGAATTAAAATTGGTTATTAATCTCGGTCGTAAGTGTATGAATACAGAGGGAACTAGCCTCCTCACGCCCCAACCGCCGCAGTAGGCCTCACACAGGGCGTCAGGGATCGAGAGATTTCCGGCCACTGTAAGTGCGGGTCTGCGGGCGACGAGTAAGGGTAGCTCGACGCACGACCAGAACCAGACTCGAGCATGCGGGTAGCGTTCTGCGTGCGCGTCAAAGAGCCAATAGACCTCCACAAACGGGGCCCTATAGGGCTGATGTTCAGCCGGGGATGTGGGGCAAGCGCAATGAGGCACCACGGCCATGGCCTACGACAGGGGAAGAAACGTTTTTTTTAGACGGGAGTCCTGTCGCTCCTTCCCACCCGACCTTAGGCAGGAAAAGCCACTTGATGATTTTCCCTTCACAAAAAAAAATGTGTATGAATACAGCCGGGGTTGCGAGGCAAGCGCAATAAGGTAGCTGAAGAAACGGGGGTTTCCAATAAGTAAGAGGGTCTGTCAAAGTCGACGGATCTTGAAAACTTAAATTCGTAGTTTAACAAAGTCTCAATTCTCGGAAACTTGAGGCAATTGTGTAATTATTTTTTATTAGGATTCTAGAAATGTTATTTAGGATTACGTTTCCAAAGTTCAAATGAACAAAAATAAAAAAGAATAACCACAGTAACCGAAAAATGGTACAGTTTGATAAAATTTCTAGGTTTTTCTTAAAATGCCCATAATTTTCAAACTGCATGGTATATATTTTTTTCAAATTTTTCTCGTGATGGTTATGATCAATCCTGTCACCCCGTTTCGGCTTGACATTGAATTCTGGGACACCCTGTATGCTCTAATATCATCATCATCCCATCAACCTCAAATATCCGTTACAAAACATATCCATCGGCTGTATTTCCCCCATGTTTTTGAAGTAACCCTACAAAGTCGGATGTAAGAGAAAACAAAAAAAAACGTAAATATGACTTTAAAACCGAAATAAAACAAAAGTTTAGTACATAACATTTATAATGTTATTACATATAGAAGAAAGTCTTGTAAATAAACAAACTCAATGCAACGTAATAATAAAACTATAATTACAAAAAAAAATACACAAAATTTACAAAAAAAAAATAGTGTTACGTTACATAGGAGAAAATACATACATAGAGTTGTAATTATTCGTTTCATTCAACATGGTGACTAGAAATAAATTATTTATTATCTGTTTCTACTTCAAAACTCACTGTGATTGGACAAAAAGCTACATAAGACCATGGAAAATATCTGTACATTATAATATACCGCTATATACAGCTATTTTAAGTACAGATATGAAAATAAATGTATATACTAGGTAAACAGCACACGTTACAAGAACCATGGCATCCTTAAAAACCATATTATTACGTATCTGTACTGAGTTAAGCTTTATTTTCGTATCTGTAAACCAAATATCGTAGCAGACTATTATAAAGTGCAATAGAATTAAAGTCTATTGGTAGAGATTTGTTAGAAATCATTTAATACATTAAAGCCACGACGACAATACGTCTGTGTCACAGTAAACCTCGAACGAATTCGCCAATTTCGATGCGATTTCGAATCGGGTATTTTTTTCATAAAAGCAAGCTCTTGTGAACTTTCTACATTAATATGTATGTATAATAAGTTCATATTAAAAGATACATATATGCATTATTATGTATCGGTATAATTTCCTTACGCCATATTGAATGAAGAATAAAAGTCTAAGACTAAAATGTAATGAAAATAGTTAAAAGTTATTTTCCATAATAACAAAATAAACCAAAATTCATGTGAATGAATGATAACGAAAGAGTTATTCAGCAAAAAAGTCATGAGCAAAACTAAACAAACCAACTTCGAGATACAAGCTAGAAAAAATATGACGAATGAGTGAAAAAAAAATGGCGCCATTCATTTTTTACGTGGAAATGTCTTGAGATGTAGAAATAGGAACTTTAATGCCACTCGGTAAGGCTTATTTTATTGCTTTGATTAAGTCTGGTAAACTATGGGCACAAGGCACTCACACTTGCCTTACAATAACTCAGAGTAGAAAACATTATCAACAGTGATACCTATCATAAAAATTACATAGACAGCAGGCTGACACGTACAATTGCCAGCTGTAAAAATTCTTACACACCAATCTTTCCACGTAAAAAATAAATGAAATGAAATAAAACCTACAAGCGCACCGTTTCAGCCAGGATTCCAAAATAGCATCGTTAAACCCACAATCTTTTTTTAAGAATCCAACAAATCACACTGGCAGTGCATTTATAACTCATTTCCATTTAAAAAACAAATATTGCAAAATGCACACACACATCTGTACATTTTTATTTACAATTTGTAACCTACATACGTACTTGTGTCCATATGATAATATATAGAAGGACGTAGGTTTCAAACTCCTTTCGTTCAACTATTTATCGATAAAACATTTACTTAGATTAGTTTGTAATAGAGTTGAAAATTTAAACTTGGCAATTACTGTCGTTCTTTGTCGAGACTGCCTAGCACTTGAGACTGACATCAACATAATAACTAATAGACTATTACAGTCAGAATATACTATTCCACAACTAAACTATTTAGAGAAGATAGTAAAGAAGGTGCACTTCATTAATAAAATGGCATCACACAAAACTCGTCACTATGTCGCTGGAGTAAGACTTCAATTGATAACAACAAGACTATATTGAGAAGTTAAGCGATCAAAGCAATAATATGCCAAAAATAATGAAATAAATTAAGAAGATTTCGGTGTAGTTATAAGAGAAAACGCAAAACGCGTGACTAAAGATAATATCAAAACTTTTCCTTATATGAAACACTTCATGCTTATAAGAAAAAAAAATGGTAATCATTCGTTATTTCTTTAAACATCTGTCCATAAACAAGGCAGCGTTTTGTAAGTTTCCAGTGCTAAAACAACCTATTGGAAACACGACTAATCAGTCACCGAAAGTCGCCTAATCATATCGATTCTATATTATCATTTGGACCAAGGAAGTAATAGGTTACTAAAATAACTAGACACGTCAATCATCCTCACACTATTTACAAAGTACTGAGATCAAATTCACAACTGCCTAAGAGTTATAAACATTTCTTCATTATTTCATAAGCGAATCGTACGTTCTTGTACTAGAGGATAAAACATTTCAGTAGAAAACTACTCTACTATCAATGGGAATAAAGTCCATTTTTCATTGTCAATCAATTACCCTAATCTATCTCGTCCTCCTTTAAAATCTATCCTTGAAACCCGAACGTTTGATATTCAAATATTCAAACGTGGAACGTGAAGCCATTTTGAAATGCTATAACCGTTACCAATATGGCGTCGGTGCGTTTCTGCAACGTTGACCTTTGTAGCGCTCCTCGGCTCCGTAATTGGGGGCCCAGGGGAGGTTTCTGCCTCGACTTGCGCGGGAGGCCCCTTTTCCTACGTAGTTAGGGGGGTAGACTCTACTGTTAACGCAGACCCCTGGTCTACAGCCGTTCCTTGGCGTGGTAGGGTGACTCCCTGGTAGGGGTGGGGACGAGAACCTTTCCCAAGGGTCCGGCATCATACAATTACCGCACGTCCACGCGTAATCACCTGTAATACAAACATGATTAGTAGACATTTTGTTTAAAAGGACAACAGTTAATAAAAATACAAATGAATGGTATTAAAATACAATAAATTCATGAATAATATTTATTTATACATCACTAGTTATCGTTTGGCCAAAGTTTGGAAGAATACTTTTGCATTTTCGTTCGACCTAACCTTAGTTATTACGTACACTTTAATACAATCACAAAATACTATATATCGTAATATTAAAAGTATTAATATTTTTTTGTATATTTTAAAATATTATAACGCTATATAGCCAATTTTTGTCTAGTATGACATAGTCTAATAAGTGATGTTTATTATTTTTCATTTTAGGTCTTCAGTTTTAGGAAAACAAGTCTAGGATATCTTAATCCTGTACCACACTCATTAGACTACACCATTATAAATAGGATGAATGAAAATCGAGAAAAAATACATTCCTTAGGTGACTTTCGCTACATTTTGTTCAAAATATTTAAAAAGAAAGTGCATTGATTATTATTATTACTACGAAACCAACGTAAAAGTTAAATTTCAAATAATATAATATTCGTTTTATAAATACTATAATCATAATATTATCTCATATATTCCTCTTTTAATAAGCAAAAATCTACAACTTTCATAAATAATTATTACAGTCAAATACAAATCAACCGCTAACAGTACGACACGCTAATAAATAATTCATTATACAAATACATTTTTGTAACAGCTAAAATATCCGTAATAATAATAATTGAATTATTATCATAAGAAGAACTTAAGTTATTATTAGCTAGTAATTTATACAATAATTCTTCATAAGGCCAATTATAGTGGTGAACCAATAGCGAAGACTAATAAGCAAAACTCGACTAAAATCACGCACCATTTTAGAACGCATCTACCCATTCACTAAACTTTAATAAATATCACTGTCAACCTCAGTGTTCTTAATTCAAATAATTTTCTTTTTTTAAGTACAGCTGCCAAATAGCTTTCCCAATTTCTTTTTATATTTATTATCGGTCACGTGGGAACAACCAACTACGTAGGAAACTACCACACATGTTTTCAACAGTTTTACAAAAAGAGGGTAATAATCTATTGGTGAATTTTATCAATTTGAATGAGACTTGTTCGAGTACGATAGTATGCTTAGTCGAGTTTCAGTATGAAATAACATATTCATATCAATCTAATATTATTTAAAAATTATAATATAGATCAACAGATCCGCCACACAATATAATATAAACTACAGCCACGTAATATAACAACATTACCATAACAAGCATTCACGCAGACATATTTAATAACAATTTTATATCTTTAAAAATATTATAAGCGCTACAAGATTTACGAAGGTGATTGTCATAATTTGTTATCGTTCAATATAGGATTCATTCAAATTACTAAAAAGCATATGACAGACATATTCAACTGTCAGTGTCACATTGACATTGACATATTTGTTTCGTCACTCTCCTTGTCATTCAATCTCAAAAGTCAAAAGCAGACAGTCGCAGTCCCCCTGTCTTCCCCTTTGAAGAAATTAGTTAATAATCGATTATGTACGACTTGAAACTAACATTTTTATATACACAATATCAGTCGCATGTATTTGACAAAAGCCGAATGGTCTAAAGGGCATTATTGCAGTGACTAACGAATAGCAATACGTCCCTTACGTAATATTCTAATGAAATAAAAATATCGGAAAGAAGTATTTACAGAGAAATGACGATACTATTTGGTGTCTAACGTTCTATGCGCGCGCACTCTTACAATCACATTCCTAATCTTGTCACACTTATCATAAACAAGTTACATAGGGGTGCTATCTCATCGTCACCTAGATCTTAACTTTACATTATTCGATAGCATATTTATAATTTCCAAACCTTTAAAAACCAGAATTTTGAGAATAGCACCCTACTTACAAGTGTTTAGTTATTTTTTTATTTATATTATAACTCTTTAACAAGTTTTAAATTTTCTCAAACATTTACTTGGTGAACCACGATAGTACATCTCTTAGAAATACGCTTTATTTAGGCACAATTCACATTTGGAAACTAGTTCTAGCATTCTAGACCTACTTCCGCGTCCAGTGAGGAACATACAACTTAGAAAACTACAGAATGAAATAAATATTAACAATATCAACTAAATGACTTCAATGCCTATCTAAACTTAGCTACAAATAGGAACATAATAAGAGATCTTAGTTAAAACATTATCTATGACACCAAACAAGAACAATAGAAAAATCAACAAATATTCTTTAATCTTTTAAAAACACACACACATTCAGCAAACTATTACAAACAATAAAGTACATCTTCCATATCGAAACTTAAGGCGTAGTCACTGTATATGAATTATCTATTGGGTTCCTTAAAAAAATATAATTACATAAACGTTCGATAAAAACTAAAATTAAATTTAAACATACTGTATTAAGGATACCCCCACTGAACTCGTTTACTTATCAAGAATCTACAGTTACATAGTAATATAATACAACTTTATATACTAGCCTAGAAAGGGACGAGAACATGTGATGGGTATCAGGACATACATCTATCTCTCTCTTTCATAATCCATACTATAACTTTTATTTCCCTTATTTAATTATAAAACTGTTCCGATATATTCACTACAATAATATAAACTACATACTGAAATAGCTAAGCTTAAACGGGCTTAAGTTTATAATGAAAGAAAACATTTTAATATTTAATTCGTCTGGCAACACTGAAAATATAGTGATGTAACACGATTTATCGACTAATATAACATGCTATATAATTATATTCTGTGCGATTACTACTTAAAGCCAATTTCAAATACTTTTCCCTCTGTCAATTTTATCCTTTTTATTATAAAGCTATTCTTAAGTCCGGACACCCATCACAATGGAATAGGAACGTAGTCGATACGGGAACAACACTCATAAACTCCGAATCTAATGAACGTACGAATCACCGCTGCATATTGTCAATGTAATTCCGGCATAATGAACGCTTCTTTGAATATTAGTATAATTATGCATATATTTCTTTGAATAATGGGCACCGCATTATAAAGTAGTTCAAATGTTTGAAAAAAACTTATATACAAAATTGGTAGGTACTATTATGACCGACTCGATCTGAAGAGAGAACAGAAGAAATAACATATCCAAAACCAATTTACTGATCAAAGGTGTTTGTGTTTAAATAATTATATTAGTAGAACATAGTACCTACATCTGTACCACGCATATCAATTACTCTGAGTTATCCACAGCACATACAGCTAAAATTAAGTACTACTTTATAGGCATAAGATAGCGACATTATTGTAAACCACGCGCGCTTCAAGTTATCCAAAGAAATTTAAACAAATGTCTTAAATAACACAAGGTAACGTTGGCTGCATGTTGTGCTACACCGAAATGCTATCGGCAAGCGGAGACCCCATCGTAGACGAGGGAAACGCTAGAAAAACGAAAAAATATTACGTCACACCACCCATAGAAACAACTAATATTTTCAAAAGTATTATTGGATCCTACAATATGCTTATTCATTCTCCAAAGTTGCTTAAATGATGTTTTAACGTAGCACCTACTTTGCGCAACTTGTGAGCTTGTTAAGTTAATGGAACTAACGGGCAAGGATCCTTGTAAATTTAAACAATACAAAAAAGAAATGCCAGATCCCGGAATCGAGCCCGATATCTCTCTTTCGATAACATCAACGAAAGAGGCATTGTAAAAACAAAATTGTTTTTAAACACAGTAACAACAAGTTGTAATTTAAAAAGCGCAATAAAATAGTTATTGATTTCCTTTGCAATATTACAAAGCGCAAAGCTTAAAATATGTCCGTCTAAAATAAGCGTTCATTACGCCAGAAGCTCCCCAATTTAATATGAAACTATCGATGTGTTTCAAATTAATACTTTGCACATAATTATCTAGTGCAACAATTTCAAATACCAAGCTTAATAACTAAATGCTGACAATTTGCGCAATATTTGTTAAGTAGGTTAAAAAGCGAATTATGTGTTACGATCAATTAATTGAACACTTTTCGATATTATATTTATTACGAAGCTACGTAATATGACTACAAATTCAAGAAGATGGAGTTTTGCGCAAAGGATGCGCAACTACTGCGCTAAATATGTACCTGTATGCTGATGGATTGCGCTATTGTAATACTGAAAAGCATATGCATTATGACATGACAGCTTATACTTTAAAATACATATTGGAAGCTTGAAGCATAAGAATAATATATGTCATATAGTATTATTTTTCTCGCTTTTTAACATAATTAACAATTATATGCAATAAATGTTCATGAGACCAACTGCTTCAACAATATAGTGCTTAAATATTCCTGTTACACTATAACTGCATAAGATCTATTTAAAAGCGCATATCTGGTCTATAATCACATATTTCATTAATAGTGAGCTAACAAAAAGCTTGTATTTATACAAACGATCTAGCTACAACGCTGTTTAACAGACAATTATATATTTATTTCTATTGAGCACATTATATGTTTTTTTCATAAGCCGATAATCGGGTAACGTTGTTTACACAAATATAAGTATTAAATTTTAACAGCAAGTTAAAGTTAAAAATAATTTTTGTTTCAAACCAAATTGAGTTTTGCGCAAGTATACGAATTGTTGTACGCAACTTTGCGCAATGTTAAAAAATAAAAAGATAAATAAGACCAGTGTAAACTAATTTAGGCGTTTTATCAGGTATACAGTAAAATCTATTTATGCAAATTATGCGACCAACATAAAGCCAAATACCGCTTGTGTAAACAACGCTACGAAGATAAAATTAATAAATTGACATTTGCACAACTTATCGTTATTAAATGATTTCGTTCATAGTTTCAGACATCTAGTACATAACTACATACATAATCTGTTCAGACCAATAGTATTGTAAACATTAGCTTATAATTACAACCAATTATGACGTATTTAGTAACAAAAGTTGATTTTTATCAAATAAAGCTGCGAATTAAAAGTATTCAGGAACAGAATGTTTGTAATATGCGTTTTGTATTGTAACGTGTTGCGCAAGCCATGTTGCATGTCTGCGTTGCTTCACTTAACGATCGATACTAGTGCCATCATAATACTTTTTGTGTTTGTCATTGTCATCACTTTAAGATGGACAGAAATGTTTTTATGGCATAGATCGGCAAATAAGCTGACGGTTTACCTGATGGCGTAAGCAATTGTCGCCGCCAATAGAGTGCCTGTGGGAGGAATAGGGAGAGGGGGAGGGATTGGAGGAAACACAATGCTGTAGTTGTTTCACGCTGGTTTTCTGTGAGGCCGTGGTATCACTTCGGTCGAGCCAACCCATTCGTGCCGAAGCTTGGCTCACAGCCCAATTAGGGTCGATGAGCCGACGGAATAAGTAGACCATACAACTAGACAATACTGCAACATGCAAACTAGCAACATGTCTTGCAACGCGTTAACGCTCTGTCCATTAGCTTTGAAACTAAATTTATTGAATATAATTGCATATTCAATTAAAAGCTTTTGTACTATTGTAGTAAAAATGAACATGTTTCCAAGTCTAACATTTTGTTATATCTATGGAAAACATTGCAAGAGCTTCACTATGAGACGTCAATAAGTATAGAAGGTTCTAGAAAATTGTAGAATTTAGTAATAACATGATTTTTGTGCTGAGACAGGGTCCCTCAGTTGTGTGAATTTTCATTTTAAGTTTAAGTTTAACTCGTGTTGAGTCGAAAGTTTGTCTGAACACATACTTAAATTAAAAAGTGACGTAATTGAGAATTAAGAAATGGGATTCTACGATTTTACTTCGATTTGTAGTTGCACTATTCTTATTAACATTCTTTAAGAATGAGTTAATCTGGAACTGGTAGTTATAATAACTATAAAAACCATATAATTTAATAGAGTAAAACGATAATTTTCAATCCAACACGAGCTAAAAACAGCCACTCATTTAACACGCCAATTGCCAAAATCACTTTTAAAAACATCACCTTAGTTGTATTTTTTTAATCTTGCAACAAAAGCTACTTGCTTAACTGGCAACACTGTCGAACGTCACCACGGATAATTAGTAGTCTTGCCTATTATAGTTACGAAGCTTAGGAATTCAACAATGGATTGGGAAAACTACTCGCAAATTATGATTAAAGTTTAAATCACTCATGTACAGGAGAGTTCTTGTGGGAATCTTTGAAAACTCCATAAATACTATCTAATTTACCATTTTTCCTTATAATAACATTAAAATTTACACCAATAGGGGGTGGGACAAGCTGCCATAAAATAATTACTACAAAATAATAAACAAATATTATAAAATAAATCTAAGCAAACATAATTGCTTATAAACAAACGATGGTAAACAAAACAATAATCAGACTTTTAATTCAGTCCAGTAATTGCAATATTTTTTCTATGAAGTTTGAACAGACTGACATAGAGGTGATTGACCTTACAGTCTATTGAAGTGTACATATCATAGCAACATTCAGTCATAACTAGTTGATCTTCAAAAATATTGGAAGAACGGTCTGAAAAAACTCTTTATTGAGCAATTTTGAAGACATTAATGTGAATGTCGAAGAAAATATAAGTCGATAAACTTTTGACACAAATTGCATTATAGTCACAAGACCATCACAAAATCGAATTAAAAGTCCAATTATGAATCAACTCATACACAAAGGTATACTAAGGTATATAAAAAATAACAGCTCCTAGTCTATAAACCGCAATTTACAAGCCCCCACCAATTCTCAAAAACTCCCACAGTCAACTTATAAATAACACCAACACTATATTACACTACTAAAATGAAAAGTCCATCCGTCTATATCCGTGTATCGGTCAGACGGAATTTCTTACAGTAAAGTCCTTTTCAAAATGGGCGATGATGACTCATATAAGACGGCTGGTTGAAATAGTCACGGCGCAGGTATCGGTTGGACAGGCCACCGTACATTCCGTAATTGGTCGTGTAATCTTGCCGGCTATGCAACATGTCGAGTTGGTCGAGGCTGTGGTGTCGTTGTGGGGCTACTGAGGCTGTTCCATGGGCAGCGTGCACAGGTCAAAGAATTTATTGTACGTACTAAGGCGTGAAAGGAAGTTTGTTTCCTTTAAAAGTTTTATAGAACCATCTGAAGACACGTAAACACGATATGGTTCCGCATTTTGCAAAACAATGAAATACAATAACTGGCTCAATGGTCAACCTAAGATCTAAACTAAAGAAAACCTTGTTTTTTCTAATAAGGTCGATAATGTTTAGAAATGAAGTTAAAATGTATGCCAAGAATATCGTAAGACCATTACATACAGCTCAAGACTACAAGTTAACGTTAGCGCATCCTGAAAGTCATATTATTTGCGATATAAAAATCTATTATCGATAAGGGAACAATCGTACTTACTCACCTCTATTATGGTGAAAACCTGCCGCCCATCCCGCGTAGTACGCTGCTTTCTGCTTACCGTGCTCTTCAGCCACCTGAAAACAGGCGTACAATCTTTGAAAATAAATTCACATATTTTGACAATATCTATCACGTACACAATACCATCTGAAAAATTCAAAATGTCCAACAGACTTAGATAAATATGTAACTTTTATCGATACATGCAGCCGTCTCTAGTATTCAAAATTCCAATTAAAAAAAATGGGAACGTAGGATATCGACGTTGGTGAGAATGATCGAAAGAAAAATATTTCCAACTACCGAAAAATGAAGGTAAGCTACCGATAAAGAAGCGTTTTCAAAGCCCAATCAGAAACATCAAAACGTCACCATATCGTGATTGTTTAATGAACTAAGTAATTTATAGTCTATCACTTAAAAGACTCGGTGCTAAATTGACAGTTAAATTTTCTGATCAGGCAACAAAAACAAAAAAGAACCGGAGTGACCCGCCGAAAAAACAAAACATAACCAAAAAAAAACTAGAAACGAGAGAAAAAAATGCGGATGCGTGATGGTTAATGATGAAAACAGCACCGTCTGGTACTAAGGGCTACCCGGCTAGAGACACAAGGTTGTCTTTCTAAGGTCATGAGGGATACAGAAGAACGACCGTGTGCCCCCAGCGAGGTGAGGCCTGGCTCGCACCATTGTGTCACTGTGGAGCCGCAGTCGGCTGTTGGCACGCGACACGCCGCGTCTGTACACAGCATCGCTGCTGGTCGGCTGCAGAGAGACATCACACAACAATTTAGACCCGACCCCGCCAATACATGCACCCCTTACATGCTCGTGTCAAACTTTCCATGAGTTGTGAAGAGTTCAGTGTTGATATCTTGATACTAATGACTTGATTAACATGGCATGATGCCTTTTTGTTTTTGTAGTACTTACTGATGTAAACTCTTACTACAGTCTGTGTCCACGATCTTAAAAGACAAGAGTTCAGACCAAAGAAAGTGTAGTAAAATGTTGAGAAGTTTCAAGTGTAGTTAGTAAGAAATAGTGTTACAATGCATATAGTTAATCACTGTAAGAGTTTGAAGTTTAAGTATCTAGCAAGTACTAATATAATAGTAGAAGTTAGTTTAAAAATTTAAGTTTTTACTAATACTCTAATAGTAAATAGTAGACCAGTTCATCAAGTTACTAAACATTAACACATAGTGAATCCTACAATTTTACAGAAACGTTTCAAATTTATAGAGGGCGCTACATACCTTAACGCTGAGTGGCTCAGTGCCGCCCTCGGGTATCACATTGTTTAGCGCCGCTATCGCTTCCTGCGCCTCTTCGCGTTTATCAAATCTGTAAAAGAGTATAAGAAATCTGTCAAACGAGCTACAATATTTCGCCGAGTCTAGATTGTTTAATTATTTTACATGAAGTGACAATAATGTAAATTCCGAAATAACCAATACACATGTGTGTCCGCACTAATTGATAGGATAGAAGACTTAATAGTAAGAGTTATTTATTTGTTGGGAAATCCAAAACAGTTATTTCTGTACCGGGGATGCATAGAACTTCTCTGCTTTGATGATTATATATTTACTGTAAATCTTTGTAAGGGCGTTACAACGCTATTGGGAGGTTTTGGGCAATTCCATATTTAAAAAAAGGGTTGAGAATATTAAGTCTCTACAGCTTACCTGACAAATGCAACTCCACGCGGCGTTCCATTGCTCTTGTCTCTCAGTATATGCTTCTGCACTATTCTGCCGTATTTGCCGAATATAGTCTCGAGCTGTTCCTCCGTGATGGCGCGCGGTAAGTTCGTCACGTAGAGGTTTGTGTCTTTTATATCGTCACCTGAGGGGCGCGCGTATGAGACCTGTGGAAAATTAACGCAAATATGGTGACACGGAATATCTGACCAGACAATTCAATCTGAGTTCATAATCATAAGTACTAAACTATTTAACTATAACTACCCCTTTTTGTGAGGGGAAATCATCCAAAACTTCTCCCACCCAGATGACCCCTCCTCCTCATTCCTTTTCCTGCTCTAGGCCGAGGCCGCAGTGCCTCGTTGCGCTTGTAGGGCCCTGTCTGTGGTGGTCTTTTTACGCCTTGAGGCGCGCGCGGAACTCAACGCGCCAGACGCTCGACAACTACCCCTCATACAGTGGTTTTCAAACTCATGCTATGTGCTATATCCCTATATTAGCATGAAAACTCAAAGGTACTATGTCGAACAAAATGTTGAGTCAACCTAGATATTTTTTTATTAGTAAAAATATCTTTCCCTCTACCAGTGGATATTTATTTGACAGGAAGGCTAACGTGAAGATTTTGAGAACCCAGGTGCCTTAACACCAGGATAAGCAGTAGGCAGAAAGATAGTAGTAAAACAAAAAAGTTTGTAGTACCTTTAACCGTTTATTTCTGAGCTGGTATCCGTTGAAGGTGTCGATGGCCCTCGCCGCGTCCTCCTCCCTCGTGAAGTTCACGAAGCCAAACCCGTAGCTGTAGCCAGTCTACAACCAACACCATCTGTACTTAGTTTCACAAACTACGATAAACTATAGAACAAGATTATCGGACTCAGATAATCTTGAATAACGAGTTTTAACTGTTCTTTGTAATTATTGCGGTTTTCCCATTGCCTAGTCTGATTCTTTTACTCCCTTACCGGATTACATTAATTCCGAAGTCTAATCTATACTAATATTATTAAGAGGTAAAATTTGTTAGTTTGTATGTAGGGGGAATCTATGGAACCGCTCGCTGGTCGGATTTCCAAAATTCTTTCACTAATAGATAGCAACAATGTTCCTGAGTGCTATAGGCTATAAAACATCACTTTACAATTAAATCGAGTAGCAGCAGGTTAAACCGCGCGAGAATAGCTAGTAGTAATATAAATTCAGACCTACTAAGTTGTTTGTACCAAAAAACATTGTAAGCACCAGGCGAGGTAGTAGTTGAAGCAATACACAAAAATGATAAACAAACCTTGAAGTCCTTCATAACTCGACAACTCTCTATAGGTCCTATGGTCATGAACATCGCGTACAGGTCCTTCTCAGTCATAGTTTGCGGCAGATAGTTGACGATGAGGTTCGTCTTGCAGGAGTCCCCTCCAGCGGCGGACACCCCGCCGCCTTCCGACATACTGCCCCAGCAGCGCGCACCAGCGCCTGCCCTCCCTCGATACTGCTGTTGGATTTGCTACAACAACCATCGTAGAATAAATTGCATTTAATTATCCTTCCCCGTTCGAAGCTGGCAAATCGCCAGAGGCGGTTGTCTCGCTTATGATACTTTTTACATTATACTCGTAAATCGAACAATATTTGCAAAATGGATCAGCAAATTAGAGGCTTAAGTTTCTATATAAACTGATTATTTTCAAGAGTTATGGAATCCAATCCAATTTACTAAGGTAGTAGGCGCCGAAAATCGTCGCAAAGTCAGCCAGTCAAATAAAGTTATGACATTTCCTTCAACCGAAGAAAATTGTATCATTAAAAAGAGCTCTTGGTTACATTCAAAACTTTGGAAGCTCATAAAAAGTTGAGTTTATTAGCCGAGGTCAAACAAAATCAATTAAAGGGCTTGTAAGGGCTGCTAATCTACTCGATCGATCTACAAGGACGGGGCAAATGTCACCAAAAATCCTTGCCTTTGTGGAAATATGGAGAATATCAAAGAAACCGTGCGTTTCTATATTTGGACAGCAAAAACCGAATCGTGTATAGTAAGATAACTTTATAAGTATTAATTTCCTGTAGCCAAAGCCAATTTTGCACTAACGCCGAAATAATCCAAACTTGTTTTTACCCAGCCTCAAGCGCGTGAAATTAGATAGAGCCCCAGGGGAACTAGATGTTGTTATGATATTTTGGCCAGTCTCGATTGACCTAATATTCTATCAGTATAATACTGTGATACTATCTATTGTTTATTTAAAGCTTGGCTGAACAACTAGAATAAAACTAGACTGAAAGGGAATAAGACTTGATGTTGTATATCCTAAGAATTTCTTCTTTTCTTCAAATTAATCAGTCAAGTGTCAGAGTCGGGGTAAACGTGCATCGTTTCATTGGTATAATGATTATTTTTCTGAAGAAATAAAGATGTTATCCATAATACTGTAGGATTTAAATTCCAGCACTTGTGTTGTAGCAAACCATTTCGCTCATAATCAATCTCTAACTATAAATTAGGCTCCCGAATGTATTAACAACCTAACAAAGGTGAGTGGATAAGGGTAAGAATAAAACGGCACCCGGTAATAGGCGAAGTTACATAAACGTACAATTCAGATCTGACCGAGTTAGTCGGCTGCAACTTGAAAACTGTTGGGCAGACATACACCGTAAATCTTATCGTACGACCAGAGCCAAGAATTAGTTATAAAATTCGCAATCCTAGAGTACCTACCTACTGAAATTCAATTACCAAGTACATTTACGTAGAAGAAAAATAAAAGTTGTAAAAAGTTTTGACTTATGAAGGTTAGTAGTGCCCAGATGTAACGTGGCGAGACCAGATTATTTGAATTCGTTTACAGAATGGTTTCTTCAACTTAAGGAGACAAGCGTCATAAAATCTTTAACAATAAAAAGCACGCTTATTTACCTATCAACCTCAACTAACTTTAGATAGACTAAAATAATGAGATTTTCCGTCGATAGGTGGTAACATTGGACCTAAAGTACTTAAAAATAATCAGGCCAACGCAATTTCCGTCACCGTTCATTTTTAACGAGTCAAACCGCAATATTATTTAATTAAATTCATTCTAAACCTTATAAGCATGTTTAATTAGGTGTAGTTAAACGACGAAGCGATTAACAAACAAAATTAATTAAAAAAATTAAATGAAGTAGGTGCTTAGTTTAATCATGCCAAATATTAGACGATCGATGTAAAATCCTAAAATCATTGGAACATATGCTCCCATTTGTAAACGTTAAAACTGCCGTGGTCTTTAAATAGTCTAGAAGCTTACTACTGAGCATTGATAGATGATATAATTAAGTAGTACCACAATGTAATTTATTCCATAAAATAATAGAAATTCCAGTGAATTAAGTCTACTTTTAACACCTTTAAAATATCCAACAAGAACGAACGAATTAGTAACTGAAATCATTGCCGAAATTGCCAACTTGATGTGTTCCGGAGGCTATTTCTCCTAATGCCTTATTACTTCAATATTCTGTTATATTACGCAGAATTTTATCACGCACTTAAACGGGTCAACTGTTTGGAAGAAATGGTAATAAACATCACAACGAACGACCCCTCGTCCCAAACGCATACTTCGTCATTTTCCCAGCTTTTTATTAACAAAATGACTGGCACATTGTACAAGATACATATTCATCAGGGCTGGGCTGTGTCAATTTAAAACAAACAAACAAGAGCCGGTAAACTTCACAATCAAACGAAAAAACCAGGCAATATAAGCGGCCCTGACCTAAAAACCTGTATACGAACGTACCACTAGATTAACTCACTCGATTTACACCCACAATAATATATAGTCGACTAAGAAACTAAAGTCAAGTTTAAAACTTAGACCATCAAATAAAATTTAGAAAGAACAAGCACTGAGCTCTAAAGTAATCACAGAATGAAGATCTTTTAGAATTCATGACTTCCAAAGATTCATTGGTAGTTTTCTCAAGGAAACTTTGCAAGAAAGTTAGGTACATAGACCCCGAGTTCCTCGTGCAAAGTTAAAGAACGTGTGCATGGCCGACTAGATCGCGTCATAATTAAGGGCCAATGTGAGAGTGTGTCATTATAACCTCATTATTAATAATACGAACTTAAAGTACCTCTCTTAGAAGTGTACTCAAAGGGACATATATTTTAAGAGTAATAAAAAGCTGCAACATATTCTACATTGCTTCGAAAGCTTTGTGAGATATCATAGGTAGGAATATGGTCTCTTATTATAGTGTAAAATGGGTTCCAAGGATAAATATATGTCTCGGTATGATATTACTCTAGACATAAGTCATTATTCGAGTCTAGGAAAAACACAATTCGCAGACTTCGCAGTGCATCGACACATGCTGAACTGAAGCCATATTTTACAACGTTTGACGTCGGACAACAATATGAAAACAGCGTAAAGAAAGCGTGCTCATTTCCACTAACCTCCTGAATTGTTAATTTCCTTCTGTCGCTCAAAATAAAGTACGTTAGAATGAAATGATTTTACAATAGTGAACCGAGAATAAACCCACGCAAACATTTTTATAGGTACGTGACAAAGTTTTGTTGGGCCTCCTAAAGCCATTTTGAGCAACTGCTTGGAGAGAAATCGCTTTAATCACGATACCAGGAAGATCGATTTCCCACTGTACTCTTGCCAATTTCGTATGATTTCTTAGAATGAAACCAGAAACTGATAAACTATTTTTAGAGATAAACGGTACTGTAGTAGAGGTTTTCAAAACAGATTCACTATCAGATCGTAGTACTGAGAACGAATATGATAAAAGACCCCGCAATCGATGACATATTCAACTGCAATGGTTACTCTAAGATGTAGGTTAAACAAGCTACGAACTTTCAAGGGATAAATACTACACTAACGTGACCCCTTTTGCATTCGAACACTTCATTTTTTATAACAACTTTATGCAGTAAACCTCCTTTTTCGAGCCTTCGTGCCAAAAAAATATTAATCAAATTATTGGCTTAGAATAAAATGTCGCAATGTTATGTGAATAAAACTGGTAAAAATGGGTTAGTAGGTTGTTTTGCTTGAAGACATTAATTTTCATACCTAGGTTTCATTAGGACTATGCGATTGTGCACTCTTGTGAGTTGAGATTAGGTAACTACGATAAAACAGCCTTTTATTTTCTTTATTACTGGCAAGGCAGAGAAGTTTATTCTCGTAAAACATCTACGAACGTTAAAAACTTAAATCGAATGTCAACGAAGGGTTTGGAGTTCGAACAAATATGTACCCAAGTAGGTACTTCAATTTCGGATTTATAGAAATTTTAAATGCTTATTGTCTAGAGACGCGGTTGAAAACGACGCAGTACGTTGTTTTTTGGACAGATAAAAATGTATATATACCTAGTCCAAATAAAAGCTGCTAAAACGGAAACAAGACATATGCGCGAAAAATACATGCCATTGTAAAAACAAGTGCCTATAGTCTGAAAAAATCTATTATTTCTGACCACCAAAGCCACCCTACATCTTCCACTGGCGTTTGGTGTCGACAAGCATACTGGCAACCTTCCAATGTAAAATGGAACTTGCCTCTTTACTAAAGCGTTAGTTACAAAGCTCATTAATAATGGCCTGTTGAGAGTGTCATTAGGCATAGTTTTTTGAATACAGATTTCGCAAAAATATGTTCTTTTTTTATACAGATATAGTCTTATTTTCTATAGACGCGCATTTAGAACAAGAGACGACATTAGGTACTGTTAATCAGAATACCTAGGCATTCCACCTGCCTATTAGAATACCACCTTGATGTATCTAGGACAGGTAGCCTACTGTACCATTGTAACTAATCTGAATATCTAATATCTCAGATTCTGCGATCAGAATATTTCAAATATTTACTGATAAATACTATAAAGAATAAAAAAGGAATCATGACCTGAGTAAACCATCAAAAGAATAGGAATATTATCTAATAGACTTTCTTACTGGCTTTTATGGGGAGAAGTTGTGTTTTATATTCTGTGGAGATTCAATTACATAGTTATTTTCAATCTGTGAATCAACTGTCATCTGTGGACATAGATTGATTGATCTTTGCTTTTAATGTCTGCTACAGAGTAGCAGTAATAAAAATAAGCAATCAGCACAATTATTATTTTTTATAAATATAAAAAGTTAACTGCTAAGGCAAATACTAATATGTAACTTCATAAGAGTATTTTTTAAAAAAAATACCTTTTCAAGAAAATGTTGAATTTGTGTTAAGTACTTTATGGTTGTTTCATCATATGCAAAAACATTACAAAAACTAAAAGGATGTTAAAATTAAATTTAACTTAAATATTGTAATAAAGTTTAAGCTTACATCCAAAATAACAAGAACCACCAAAATTGAACCGTGCAGAACTCCAAATTGAAATAATTATTACACCCAAGATGGCACAAAAATTATAAAATTAAAATAAAGTTTTTCAATGAAAAAATTCACCCTGAGCTCTTCAAAAAATAACAAAAACTGTTATTTTTCAAATTTTAAGCCAACTAGATTGATTCATAAATCTCTGTGGCTGAAATTCTAAATATGACTTGCTTGAGCCATGGCTTGTAGTAGTTATGAAAAGCATTAAGTATAAAAAAAAATTGATAGCATTATGAAAAAAAAACTTACTTCAAAACTGATAAATTTCCATTTGGTGTATTATATTCTTATGGGCTATTGGTTTAGGTAGTTAACTAAATGTAAACAATCTTTGCATTTTAAGTTGTCTAAAAATTTTATGTAAAAATGTAAGACTAAATTGAAATAATCTTTGAAACAGATTTTTAAACATCAAACTTTTTATAAACTATATTTGATAGGAATCATAATATATACAAACTATGTCATGTTGATGAGAGTGAATAATATAAGTAGTAATATACTTACATTTTCCAACGAATTGAAACTCCTGTCCCAACTGCTGACAGGAGTCCCTCCAAACAAGTATCCAGGATATCGTTCACACATTTATTACACTTATACAACACACCTTTCCAATAAATATAATATCACTAAATTCTATTTATATATTGAGCAATTACTTTTTATAACATGTTTAATCTACATACATCTTTAATTAAAACTATTTGTTTTACAAACTATTTAGTGGGCTTGCTGTACCTGGAATGAAATAGCAATTATTTATTATCTGTTACTTTTAAATTTTTTACATCAAAAATGTTTGAGCCAATCAAATATTAGGATACTGACCTCACAAACAGGTCAAGATTTTTGAAATAGTGTCAATGGCTTTAAAAAAAGCGGGAAATGATACTTTTAAACAAATAACCTATCATTCTAATAAGACTTAATTTTATTCATCTTTGGTAATACATTTCTTATTTGAATAATGATTATTAGTCGTAGATTCGTAACATTTAATAAGCAATGAAATGTTATAATTCCTAATTAGGACAAAACAAAGCTCATAATATAATTTATATGATTTGAATTTCCCATTGATTACATTTAATTAGGGAATCCTTACAATGAATAAACCAAGAGTCAAACTTGACAATATTATTTCACAAAAGTAAACAAGAGATGCTTCAAATAACAGCGTGTAAATTGAGCAAGCTGAAGTTAAATATTTTTGTTTTTATTTGTAATAAAAAATTAAGACATAATAAAAAATAACAGATTATTTACTAGACCATTTTTGACAGCGTGGTATGATATGTACGATTATAATAGGTATATTACTCAAATCAAATTTGTTAAGATTTACTTACGTTTTAGAAATAAGAAACGTAGGTTACTAAAACCTTTTAAAATCAAGTGTCCTTTTAGACTTTTCTGCAAATTATTAACAATTTCGTGACAAGCGCAGATCTGAAATTCTGAAACTAATTACTAACCATAGACTAACTAAACCAACCAACCATTCGGTCAGGAAAGCATTCACTCAATCAGTTGCCATTCTCCAAAATAGGTAAATATTTTGCAATTTAGCAGTGCCTTATTTTCAAGTTATTATTCAGCAACAGTATAATATTCTAAACCACTTTTAAGGACTTCATAGTCTTCAAATCACGTTTAATACATAATATCTGAATTCCACAACACGTACAAGAATTATTACGAATAAACGGAAAATTAAATGGCATTTCGATTTATTCCGTTTTCGATTTTTTTTATATTTAAATATAATTCATTTTAATAATATTATCCGCTAATTAAAATTATGAGTTACTTCCGTTTCCTATTAATTATTACTGCAGTGGTCACACCGGATCAACGAAAATGCTCATCAATTAGAGACGCCATTTTGTTTTCTCGCATTGAGCAGTTTACGCGCTACTTACTGTTCATGTGTTTTTTCATCTAGATTTCAATTTATTTGGAATGAGTTAATTAAATAACTGCGTATGTGATACTGTGCAACAATTGTGCTTAGATATGTCTAAGAATTAATCGCGGTAAACAAGGTTTTAGAGTTAAAATAGGTGAGTTGGTTTTGTGAATTAGTGATTGCTTGTGAGCTATCGGGGGCGACGGCGACCGATCGGGGAAAAAAAGTATTATCATGCTTTGTACGCGTCCTTATTTGTGCCGAGATTCGGTAATTTTACCAGCCTGATTTTGTTTCGGTTTTATTTGTGCTGCAGTCTTAGGTTACCCATTTACTTACGGTTTCGGATTCATAAATTTTACCTCTTTATAGTCTGACGGAAAAAAGGTATTATAACCTCTTTTCTTCATTTTGATAACGTGTTTTTTCAGTATTCGGTCTTGTGATCCATTGTAAATACCACGTAGCCGTAGTAGTGTAGCATTACTATACACATATAAAAAACTGTTGTAATATCTTGTCTGCATCTATGGTACTTTTGTATCAAAAAAAACCAAGATTTAAAAATGAGACACACTAGAATTTTGCATTGTCGTGCAATAAACAAAGCGTCACAAGAAATATCTCAGTACTAGCCATACAAAACATTTGTGTACCAATAAAAACACAATGTCTGTAAAAGTAACCATTGAAACTAATGAATGCTTGTTGATAATCTTATCTCAAACGATATGTTTAAATTCAACACTTATGCAAATCAAAAATGGACAGGCTATTTTCGTTTTTATAGGTACAAGAAGTGTGAACATCTACAATGAGTGTCATCATTAGACTACAAAACCTTCCATGGTCTGCAAATGCTCTGGACATTAGGAATTTCTTTCGGGGCCTCTCCATTCCTGAGGGAGGTGTGCACATCGTAGGAGGCGAGCTTGGAGATGCGTTCATTGCGTTCAGGTAGCTATACGTAACATTCAAATAATGACACATGGCATCTGTTTAATATTTTCTATGGACAATTTTCATTGAAAATATCCAAAAACTTTGATCTCACTATATTTAAATGATAATCATTATATTTTAGGAGTAAGCTTGTTTTAATATTTATATTTATTGTGAATAAATGGACACCATTATGTCTGTGTTTAAACCCAAAAAAGTGTATAATTAGGTACAAAAACATGAAACAATTTTAATATCTTCCGAATCTTTACTCTGTCTACTGAAAAAATATAAAAGTAGGTAAACCAATTAATTTTAACAGTAATACCTGTACACATCTCCATTTGAGGAGTCTTCCAAACTTGGTGTAGGTTTTAAACTAATATCAATTTTAATATTTTTCTCTATCATCAAGAAAACTGATTCGTAAAGACTGCAGAACTAGTTCTTTTAAAGTAAAATTATTGAAGGAAGGCTTTTTCACATGTATGACTCCGTTACAATATTCTTCATATATAGTATGCATACCTTGCATTCTAAAGCTTATGAAACTTTGAGACATATTATTTCAAGTTTGCAGTCAAAAGAAATAATTTCTCCCAGTCATGTTATTGTCAAATACTGTATTTCTTCAACATCAAACCTCAGTTAAAAAATATTCTACATTTTGATCAAGTATGGTAAGTATTTAGGTAATTTCTAGATTTGAGAAATATTAATTAATGCTATTGGCTGAAACATTACTACTGCAGAAGATATATTGGTAAGTATTTTCTTTATAAGACAATTATTTTTTTTCTGTTTTTCCACACTTAATACTCTGATGCAACCTTTGACAAAAAATATGATACGGTAATTGTTTAAGTAGGATGTTCATATTCTTAAAATTACTATTTTAAGAGTTATCAAAGATAATTAAGTGCCGTGAATAACATCAAAAAGTGACATTATTTACTAAGTGACTGCGATGTACAGACATGTTACCTAGAAATCTGAAAGTTTTTAAGTACCCACCAACAACCTACAATCTTCGTTTGAGGCAGATTATCATCTGAAATGTTGAAATTCACACAGCTCTTGGTTCAAAACCCATTATCTGCAATAAACCTTTCTCTAAACTTTGGAGCAAAGGGACTTGTAAAGTAATGACTGATATAGATAGTAAATAAGTGACACTGCAGCGATAGCAAATTAATGAAATCAACTAGGAATTTACATTTACACCTAGATGTGCCCAACATGGGCTATGCAGTGCCTGGACTTCTCAACTATGGGTAACTTCGTTTGCAACCATTCATGGGACTTATTCAATCTATTTTGCTTTATCAAGCATTTTCTTTATCGCTGTTCGTCATTTATCAAAATACCGTCTACTCATGCGGCAAACCTAAGGTTTCGTTATAAAAGTATTTAAGAACTTAACAATAGGCCATAAGCGATTATTGTATTCCATAGAATAAAACAATAATTTTATCACACCAAACTCCTGTAAAATGGGTACATATACGTACTATCGAAACTATTATAGGTATTAATTTTAATTCCGTAAACAACATGACCGTGATTCGCCATATCCATTCCTCTGTCGCGACTTGAAATTTGACGAGTTACATCGTCAAATTGTTACGTGAGTAAAATCAAGCTTCAGGATTCCTAAGGACTTTGCTCTTGCTAAAGTTCCATGTACTGTTAATCTCGTCATTTTCAGTACCTGCGAAGGAGACGGTTCAAAACAGTTTATACCTATGCGAAAACAATCTGGTGAGTGAGGCGTGAATACGTAAGTAAAGGAAGACTACCTTTGCTAATACTGAACAGCATAATATTGAAAATGATTTCTAAGATACTGCAGAGCCGATGGAACCTGTTTTAGCTCTATAACGCGAATGACATTCTCGAAGCACTTACGTTATGACGAAAAACAACGATTTCGATCAAACCTACTTACCCACCCTTTTCTTCCTGCGGAATCTTCTAGAACTCCTTTATAGATTGCTGAAAATGCTACTGGATGAAATGTTGGCTTACGTGTGTTTTTTAAACTGTGTCTGTGAAGGCTCTATGCAATAAAGAACCGAACGACCTACGACAGCATACCTTCATTAGAGATATGATGATTCTTCACTGAAATGGAATTCAGGTCATCTATGCAAAAATTGTTAGACAATTCTGTTAGATCAAGTTCTCAGCGTACCTAAACTAATCTCAAAGCAGTTTCAATCGGACCTACATCACCTACATGCAATCAAGGAGTCTTCGCGAGGCGATATTTACTGTACATTTTAGTCATAAGTTAGCCGATTTTTATTTTTCCACTCTTGTCAAGACTATGACGACAAACTAAGACTTATCAGGCTTCAATATTGGAATACAATAAGATTGCTCTCCTGATTGTAATCCTTGAAGCTGTTCAGAATAATGTGTGAAGGTAGTGTACCAAATACGGATTATGGAGCAGACGCCAAGTGAGACATTACTTTCTTGCTGCATTTTCATTTCTGTTAACACTAGAAAGACCAGAGTGGTCAAATGACCCCAATGAAATTTTTGATCAATCATATTATCAAAACCATAGCACTGAACTCATTGTCGTTTTATGACTTTTAATATTTCGTCATTGTTTACATTATTCTGATATGGGTATACCAATAGCAAGATAAATACTAATTAAAAAAATATCACCTACCTAGAGAGACCGCAGTGGTCATTTGACACCACAGCGTGCTTGCTAGTTACATTTCGTGGAATATACTTGTGTTATGGGTAGTTGAAATAAAATATTTTTTTCTTGTTTTATTCTTGTCAAAACAAAGTCATATCATGGCTCGCCATAATAATACGATGCCTCATTATCGTTCCCTTTGCCCTTCAAAAATACTGGAAGTGTCGCAAAATTTACCGGACGATCAAGACTATGAATCAACTGAAGAAGTGAGGCACATTTTGCATTTAGACTCAGAAAGTCAAGAAAGTGTTTACAATATTACACAAAATAGTGATTCTTTTAGGGATGGTGATCCCACTCATATTCCAATTCTGATAGTAAGTGTATATATATTTTGTATATTGATGTAAATAAAATAATATTTTTTTACATTGAGAGAAAAGGAAACATTTTATTAGCGTTTACTCCACTGTTTCAGATTTAGTAGCTCTCGACTTTACATAGTGCAAAACCTAAGAAGAGGTCGAGGTCGAGGTCCCATATGTTTAGAAAGAAATGAAAGCCATCGACAAAATCAAAGTTCAGGCGAGTGGGTCGTATTGAGACCAATGGACCCACTGGTCGAAATGTAACTACTGATATTTTTTTCACCAGTGTAAATATGGCAATAAACCTAATTGTAACACAGGACAAGTGTTTTATAATAATATTTTGGATATGACAGCGAATGATTCTTGGATTTTGTACAAAAAACTATCGAGAAAAAAATCAGTAGAAAAAAGTTCATTCTTGACTTGGCCAGGGAGTTAGTCGGCCAAGATTCCCACTCCCTGATGACACCATCTACTTCACAGCCTGATAATAGCATACCCGCTTGCAAAAATGCAGAAATAAAACCAATAAATCGTAAAAATCGTATAAACTCGCTGTTAATAGCTTTTGTGTGGCTCTTGTAATGTAAACAATTAAATGTCAAAAATGTGCCTAATATTTTTATGT